GGATTAGCCTAGTGAGCCGCGGCGCCGGCCCCCCCCCCCTTTTTTTTTAATAAAAAGATGGTCTAGTGTGGGAATAGACTCTCAAGGTGGAACGAAGGAGGTCAGTTCATTGTAGGAGGGGAAGTAAAAAGCAGGAGACCAGTTTTGAATAGTTTATCTGCATGGACACTGGAAATATGTGGGAAAGAGTACTGTACATGAGCTGAATTCTACGGATGATGGGGAGTGACAGGGGCAGTTGGGAGGAGAGGAGGGCAGTGTAGCTATAGGGTAACACAGACATCACTGGAAAAGGGACAACAGCCTTGAAGGAACAGTGACCATGAATATCAGAGAAGACACATGTCTGTCTCTGACCCTGAAGTGAGATGTGAAAGAAATAACAGAGTTGGGGCCATGACTTCAAGGTTTAGGCAATCTGGTGTCAGTCATGACATGGAAGAAACCGTGAGAGCTGTTGACAATACAGCAGAAGCTACCAAAGCCAAACCAGGAGTTTCAGAGGGCACAGCTGGGGGCTTGGGAGGAGAGGTGGTAAGGGGGATTGGGTCAGACTGGGGAGTGTTTAGTGCAGGCTGTTCATGGGATGTGATTCTGAGGGGTGAGCTGAGAGGCTTGGTCTTCTGGGGATACATGAAATCAACAGGCACGTGTGATGGGATGGACCTAGTTTCTCAGAGCACAGTGGCCCTCTTCTTTTGACTGTTGTCCCAAATACTTAGCTCAGAAGTTGACCTCTGGCCAGCTGCTTTCCACAGAGTGGAGCAGGACTGGGGTGGATCAAACAAGGAGCATGTTTGAGGGTTGGGCTGGAGTGGTGGGAAGAGAAGTACAAGTGATACCCAGACTGGTAGTCCAGCCAGCTGTTGAATACACAGGCATGTACCAAGTGCCATTTGTCTGTGAGGACAGACATCATGTGGCTAGTCAAATTACAATGGCTGCTGGCTCTCAAGGATGTCTGTTCTCTTGTCTGTTTTCCTCTAATAATCCACCCCCCAGAGAGTCATATGTGAGCACTTGTTGGTCACTGTTGCCACCTGGCAGGAAGGAGGGACTCATACCGGGACTTGGGGACCTGAGACAGCTGACTTGCCATGCAGGCCTGCTGTGGAAGGAAGACCTATAATGGGCCCTAAGATGTCCCCAAACAATCACCAGGACATGCAGATTTAATGACATTCCACACTCATGATTGTGTTGTATTACACGGCACAACTGACCTTAAAATAGGGAAGTCATCCTTGCTATGTGCCCAGTGTAATCACACATGAGCCCTTCAAAACGCAGTGCTTTCTCTGTCGTGGAGCAGAAAAGAAGTCAGAGACTCAAGAAGATGCAAAGAGCTTTTGCTGGATTAAAGATGGGGGAAGAGGCAGCGGAAAATTATGCAAAGAACTGGGATGGTGGACAGTCAGCTAGGAAATGGAAACTCAGTGCTACAACTGCCAGGAGCCAAAGTCAGTTACGAACCCAAATGAGTCAGGAAGTGGATTCTTCTCCAGAGCCTCCAAATAAGAATCCAGTTAGGCTTAATCTTGTGAGACCTCAACTGAGCTATGTGGGACTCCTGACCTACAAAACTGTGAGATCATGAGTGGGGTTGATCTGAGCTCATTGGAACAACCACAGAAGCACTTCTTTGGCTAGGGCTCATTTCACTGTTGTCTTTCATTTTGTGTTAGCGCTCTGTCACCATTTTTTTAAATCACAGTTGGCCTTGTGCACCCAGATACCTGCAGGGGTCATCACTGACATGGACAGAACGCTGAATTCCCAGTATGCGAAGCCCTTTCCAACATCACATGCAGGTATAAGTAGAAAAGTTAAATGTCAGTATTGACTGAGGATTTAGACTCTCTAGGAGTTGGGAGAAGGAATTGAAGGTGCTCATCCTTTCTGGGAAGAAAAGAAAGAAAGGAGCAGATGAGAGGGAGGGAAGGAGGCAAGGGGGGAAGAAGGAAGGAAGGGAAGGGCATTTACCACAGTGGTTAGGACACCACTTGGGACATATGCATCCCATATTGCAGTGCCTGATTTTTAATCCTAGCTGTGCTTCCAATTCTACCTTCCTGCTAATGCACACCCTGGAGAGTAGCTGGCAAAGGCTTAAGGACTTGGGTTTATTCCACCATGTGGGAGATCTGGATTGAGACCTGACTTGTCATGACCTGGCCCAGCCTTGCCTGTTCCAGGCATTTGGAGAAGGAACCAGCAGATGGTCTCTTGGTCTCTCTCTTTCTTTCTTTGCTTTCTCTCTCTTTTAAATAAAATAAATAAATAGAAGGAGGAGGAGGATGAGAAGTAGAAGAAGGAGTTGACTGGTATAGAAAATGGAAGAACCCGGGTGCTTGAGGACCACAATGAAGAGGCACAGGATGAGGGTGTTGGTGACCATATGGAAGCTGGAAGGGTAGGAAAATGAAGTCAGAGGATGAGAAAGGATTTGCAGGAAAGAACATTTTCTAGGAAGCACATAGAACGTGTGTATGCTCCATGGTAGCCGCTTGCAGAAATCCCATTGACTTGGCATAGCAGGGCCCCTGCTTCATAATCCAGGTTCTCACTGTTCACCCAAGAGTCTTTTGCATCACTCCCAGGCCCTCTCCCCTTTGCCAATTACTGTAGCTGGATAGGACTGTCATGTGTGCAGCTGTCTGAGGAGTATTAGTAAGATAAGGCATCACCAAGTATGGAGCAGGGCTCTCTAGCCTGATTTCCATCCTCTCGACCACATTCTGGATGTGTAGCCTGAGACAAGGATGTGGTCCTGGAAACAGATCCCACAAGGCAGGGCTGTGGGACTTGGGAAAGGAGAACAAGGAAGAGGAAAAACTGATGGGCTAAGCCTCCACTTGCAGCACCAGCATCCCAGATAGGTGCCGGTTCCAGTCCTGGCTGCTCCACTTCCAATCCAGCTCTCTGCTATGGCCTGGGAAAGCAGTAGAAGATGGCCCAAGTCCTCAGGCCCCTGCACCCACGTGGGAGACCTGGAAGAAGTTCCTGGCTCCTGGCTTCAGAGCAGCCCAGCTCCCGCCGTTGCGTCCATTTGGGGAATGAACCAGGAGATGGAAGATCTTTCTCTCAGTTGATCCCTCTCTCTGTCTGTAATTCTACCTCTCAAATAAATAAAATCTTAAAAAAAGAAAAGCTGATACAAATGTACATTGTAGTGATCACGTCTCTAGGCATTAAGGACTTGATGCTGCTTCTGAAATCACCACATTCATCTGCCCCTCTCATCCTCAGCAGGAGGGATCGCTTTAACTACATCCTATCCCTGCGCTTGTGCTTCCAGCTGTTCTCATGCACAGGCCAAATGTACAAAACAGAAGAAGCTTGAAAAGCTTGAAAAGCTATGGCAAATAAGCCCACCGGAAAAAATGCTCAGCATCTTTAGTCATCAAGGAAATGCAATCCAAAGCTGCATCAAGATGCTACTTCACACCCACTGAATGTGTTTTTTATTTTTAAAAGACTGATACCAACAAGTGTTGGAGAGGATGTGGAGAAAGAAATTCTCATATATTGCCAGTGGGAATGCAAAATGCTACAGATGCTTTGGAAAATAGTTTGCCAGTTTCTTTAAAAATTAAACATAAACAGGGAAGGCATTTGTATCCCACTTGGGACACTCACATTCCCTACAAGAGTGCCTGGGTTTCAGTGTTGATTCCAGCTTCCTGCTAATGTGCCTCCTGGCTCAAGAAATTGGGTTCCTGTCACCCACATAAGACAGTTAGGTTGAGTTCCTGGCTCCTGACTTTGTGTGGTCCAGCCCTGGCCAGTGGAAGGGATCTCTCTCTCAATCTCTCTCTCTCTCTCTCTCTCTAATTAATTAACAGAAGAAAAACTACACATAAATTTACCATATGACCCAGCAATTCCACTGGTAAGTATAGTATACCCAAGAGAACTTAAGACATATGTTCACAAAAAGACCTGTACAGGAATGTTGGTAATAACTTTATTCATAACAAAGAAAGGAGGGAAGAAAGGACTCAAGTGTCCATTGACTGAAAATACAGAACAAGTGTCACATGTCCATACAATGGAAAATTCAGCAATAAAATGGAATGAGCTATTGATACATGCTGTATTATAATAGGGGCAGACCTTGAAATCATCATGCTAATTGGAAGAACTGTGACATTTATATGAAGTATCGGGAAAAGACAAATCTACTGGGAGAGAAAACAGTTTAATGGTTGCCTGTGCTGGAAGTGAGGTGGACTGATTGCAAATGAGTGTGAAATGATGGAAATGTTTAAAACTTAATGTAACTTAAAAGTCATTGAAGTACACCTATAAACTTCACATTTGGGGCCAGCATTGTAGCATAGTGGGTAAAGCTGTCGCCTGCAACGCTAGCATCCTATATGGGTGACAGTTCAAATTCCAGCTGTTCCACTTCTGATCCAGCTCCCTGCTAATGGCCTAGGAAAGTGGTGGAAGATGGCCCAAGTTCTTGGGCCCCTGCACCCACATGGGAGACCCGGAAGAAGCTCTTGGTTCCTGGCTTCAGATTGGCTCAGCTCTGGCCATTTGGTAAGTGAACCAGCAGATGGAAGACCTCTCTCTCTCTCTCTCTCTCTCTCTCTCTCTCTCTGCCTTTCAAATAAATAAATCTGAAGAAGAAGAAGAGAGGAGGAGGAGGAGGAGGACGACACAGGGGAAGCACATGTCAGAGCCTGCGTGGAGCTCTGCCACACTGCAGCTGAAATCACATCAAGGTGAGGGATATGATCTAGGACACTGGCTACATCCAATGCGAGAGGTCTTCAGACTTTTATTCTACCCTGTCCTGCTGCAGATGAGGAAGCAGGCTCAGATACAGGAAGTGACTTGCCCAAGGTCACCAACCACTGTGAGTGCCATGGTGAATCTGTTCACAGAGGACCCCAGGAGATACCTCTTTGCCCAAGCCCAGGGCAGGTCTCGGAGCCCCTCTTCCACTTTCTCCCTGCTGGGCCCCAAGACAGAAACGCCACACACAGCCATGCTGTCAGTGTCACTTTATTTAGGGTCTGCTAGTGCATGGATCCTTGGTCAGGGGTAGGTGGGCAGGCCGGGGAGGAGGTGGCCAGGGCATGAGAATCCAAAGAGGACAACAGCGGCAGTAGACTCATTGAGTGGGGCCTGTCAGCGCTTTGAGAAGTCACCTCCTGGGGACAAGCAAGGGAGAGAGGGGACAGCAACAGAGACAGAGTGGTCAGGGCAGGAGGGCGGGAGGCAGGGCAGGGGAGGGAAACAGCCCAGAGCAAACACCAGCCCTGGCACTGTGCTCCTCCCAGGATTGATTACTCCACACACGGACACTACTGTGTAATAGGAGAAGAAATGAACTGGAGTAAGGAGAAGAGGGGCAAGGGCCGGACTAGAAGCACTCAAGGAAGAACGAGGTGAGGGGCTGGCTCACAGCTCCCGGCTCCGCCCCCCACCTGGAACCCCACCCAAACCCACCCTGGCAGGCGCTGCACTGGCAGCCGTGGATGACTGGCAGCACCACCGGCTCAGAGCGGCCTCCGGGACAGCGCAGGTTCAGGATCCGCACCGGGCTCTCAGGGTCCAGGCGGTAGCTACAGCAGTCGCACTGGCTCTGCAGGTAGGGCTCCTGGGCGAGACAGGGGGCAGAATGGAGCTCCCTCCCTTTCCTGGCCCTGTCCCATCCAAGGGAGGTGGGGCAGTGTCACCCCCAAGTCTCCGTTCCCCAGGAAGCCCACCTCCTTCACGCCAACCTCCACTCCAATCTGAACCTCAACTTCTACAGGTTCAAAGACTGCCTTCTGACAGCAGGGGAAAGCCACAGCTTCTACCCCGAGGGGCTTACAGTGTAGTAGGAAAGACAGACCAATAAGATAAGGAACTGCAAACAATTAAGCCCTAACTGTTCAAGTCCTAAATGCAAGCTACCTCCAAAGCACACTCCTCTTGCTCCATGAGTATAGGGTTCCTCTGAGCATGTGATTTAATTGTGCCTATAATTGTATTTCTAACTGTGCTTTGAAATTGGTAATACATTCACACAATACCAAGTTCAAAAACTATAAAAGCTTGTTGGGTGAAAAAGAATCTACCTCCAATTTTTATCCCACGATCATTCAATTTCCTTTCCCGGGGTGGAGGAAGGAAGGAATCTCTTAATGACTTTCTTTCTTTAAAAATCCCCAAAGTGAGGGCTGGCGTTGTGGCATAGCAAGTAAGGTTGTTGCCTGTGACACTGGCATCCCAAATGGGTGCTGGTTTGTGTCCCAGCTGCTCCACTTTTTATCCAGCTCCCTGTTAATGGCCTGAGAAAAGCAGCAGAAGATGGCCCAAGTGTTTGGGCCCCTGCCACCTACTTGGGAGACCTGGATGATGCTCCTGGTTCCTGGCTTTGGTCTGGCCCAGTACTGGCCATTACACCATCTGGGGAGTGAACCAGCGGGTAGAAGATCTCTCTCTCTCTCTCTCTCTCTCTCTCTCTCTCTCTCTTTCTCTCCTCTGTCTGTAACTCTGACTTTCAAAATAAATAAATCTTTAAAAACAAATTCCCAAGGTGACTAGGGAACGCATTCCCAGGACAGGGAGTGCCCCTAGCGGGCAGCTTTGTCTTTCTTCCAGGACGACATGACCCAGGTGGGCCCAGCAGGGAGGAAGGGCCACAGAGGAGGGGTCGGGCTGTTTCATTCAGAGATGGCCAGGCCCTGGCTGTGCGGATCTTGAGCAGCAGCTCCCCAGGCTCAGGGTTAGAGGGCTATGTGAAGGGGTGGGCACAGAGTCCCTAGGAAGATCCTAACAACAAGCAGGGCTGGGCTTCTGGGTCCAGGGAGAGCGAGTGCAGAGCAGAGCCACTGCAAGTCTCTCGGGACCTGCCCTATACAGTGCCCTGCTGGGAAATGAATATGGCAGCCGTCTCCTAGGAGCTCTTACTCTGTATGCTGGGCCCAGGTATTAGAGTCTATCTTGGCTCCTCGTGTCCCTGGAGGGGGCACCGTGGGGTGGGCAAAGGAGCCTGTGGGGGCTGCAGCAAGTGTAGAGCTCCCCGGGAAGAGGCAGATCGCTGGCGTAGACAGTGCCTCGGTGCAAGGCCCTGGCCATCTGTCTGTCCTGCCTGCCTATCAGAGCTGTGAGAATGGAGAATGCCCTTGGTGCCCTCCAGGCTGTGCCCAGTGACCAGGCCCCTGGGCCAGTACAGCAGTCCCTGGCTCACCTCAGGCATGACATTGGTGCTGGATGGGCAGTGCCCACTGCAGTAGCTCACTTCTACCTGATCCAGGTGGCAGGGGCCCTTGCTGAGGTTTCGAAGCTCCGTGAGGTGCCGGCAGGGTGCTGTAGGGGAGGAGCAGGCGAATATGGCAGGAGGAGGGGCAGGGGGAGGGGGACTCTGCAGTGCAGAGGGGCAGAGCCTGTGACTGAGGGGAGCCTGTGGGGCGGGGATGGCCAGGCATGGGAGTCGTCACTGCTCAGACCCCCTGGAGCAGGCATATGCTAGGCCGAAAATGCCAGTTGTAGGGGGTGGTTGGGAAGAAGGAACCAGGCCAGAGAGAGGCAGTGCAGGAGGTACCCCAGGTCCCCTCCATACCCAGAGCCTCCAGGCGGCACGTGGGACAACAGCTCCCCGGCTCCTGCACCTTCACCTCGCCCTGTAGAGGGAGCCGTCCCAGATCCACTCAGTAGGTGGTGCTGATAGCCCAAGCCCCTGGGACCAGCCTTGGACAAGGAGCCCAGGGAGCCACCTCCAGAGGGTAGTAGGGCTGCAGGGTTACCTGAGCACAGGTGAGGAGGGGACAGTGCCGGGCGCAGACACTCCTGCCATTAAGGCAGTGGCAGCTCTCACAGTCCTCCTGCCATTCAGATCCGGGCTGGGGAGAGGGAGGGCAGATTTTCCCTTTGGTCTCCCTGGCTGGTGCCCTTCTTTTTGATATCACCCCAGATCCCCAAACCCAGCCTGGGAGCGCACAGCCGGGCAGTGGACTTGGACCAGAGTAGGGGCAAGAAGAGTCTCAGGATGGAGATGGACCGCTGGGGCCAGAGCAAGAGGACCCAGTCCCAGAGAGAGCCAGCCAAGCCCTGTGTGCTGCTGCAGGGCTGCAGAGTGGCTGGGCGGGGCAGGGCTATGGCCAGAGTGGGGTAGGGCTACAGATCAAATTCACTGGGTGGGGAGGCTGGGTTCAGGATGGGGGCAGCGGCCGAAGGCATGGTGTCTCACCAAGTGGGGACGCCCATGGTGCCAGCACTCGCAGAGGTCTGCAGGGACGCAGGGGCCCGCCAGGCTGCGGAAGTGCCCTCGCTGGCACACGCAGCCGGGGTCCTGTGAGGCACTGCAGTTGCTCAGAGCCTCTGTGGTGTTTGTCTCCTGGCATGTCTGCTCGCAGGGCCCAAGCTCCCCGGTGGCCACCTGCTGCCATATTTCCCCTGGGGGGCACACTGCCCGGAAGACCATGCACCCCATCTCAGCCTGGATCCAGCCTGCATCTTCCCTCCACAACTCCTGCCCACACCACCACCTCGCTGGGCAGCCCTCCCATCCCTCCTCCCTTCCCAGGGGCTCCTACCCACACCTCTTGCTCTAATCCACCCACCCAAACACTAGCTGGGCTCAGGTCAGGTCTCACCTCCTTCAGGAAGCCCCCCCAACCAATCTTGTCTACCCTGACCTCTGCATTTTCAACAATGACGTCACATCCTGTGGTGCTGCCTTCTTGTCAGAGACCCAGAGACTGTCTCCTGCTGCACCTGTTCTGCTGGGTCGTCCACCCTTACCAGCCAGGCTGAGGCTGCACCCAGCCACACATTATTTCTGAATCCAGAGCCCAGTAGGGCAGAGCTGGGCACACAGTGCTGGGCCCTTAGTCTTGATCAGCTGGGGCCATGCTGCACAGACCACACACACCTGGGCCTGGGGACTGCCAGGCCAGGCCCCTTGCTTCTGCTCACCCCTCTGCACCTCTGCACCTCAGCTTCCTCATTGGCAAGAACCTTTACTCCCTGGCATCACCCACAGCCCTGACTTGGCACACACAGTACATTGGTGATTGCTGCCGTGAGCAAGAGGCATCACGCTCAGTGCCCAGGGAGTGCTGGGTCTCAGGGAGGCATCAGTGGGGACAGATTGGAAGAGGCTTCCTGAAAGAGGTAGCTTGGCCTGGGCTTGGGGGCAGGGCACTCCTCTCCTCCTCAGCCTTGGCTTTGAGGGCCAGCAGGGCAGGGACAGCCACATCTCACCCTGACAGTCGGTGAGGGAGCAGCTGAAGGTGCCACCTTGGCAGACACTGGGAAGACAGAAGTACAGGCTCAGATGTCTCCCGCTCCCTTCTCCCCACCCCCACTTTTGCCCTGATCCCCCCAGACCCCTCCTCTACCCCCACCCGCCACTGGGCTTGCATGTCCTCACCAGCGGGTGCAGTTCTGGGTGAGCACGGTCCCTGGGGGCAGCTCCCGGGCCTGCTCTTCAAGGGTCAAGTTGAGGCCCCAGGGCAGAGTGAGCTGAGGGCAGGGGCAGGCAGCGGGCGGCACACACGTGCCGTTGTGCAGCAGCTGAAGCGGGCAGGCTCAGTTACACTTGGACCACCTCCTCTTCCCTCCCCATAGCCTACTTCCCCCACGCAGGAGTCAGGACCCGTACCCACCTGCCCACTAGGGCAGCCACAGCCAGGCTGGCAGGGTTCCTGAACACAGACGGTGCCGGGCTGCAGGTGGGAGCAGAGGTGTGGACACAAGGTGGCACAGGACGTGAGCACCTGGCCAGGGGGGCACTCTGCGGAGGGTGCACAGGCAGTGAAGAGAGTGAACCTGGGGACAGGCTACCTCAGACATCCCTCGCCACAGCTGGGACAGGGCTGTGGCAGAGGGAAGAACAGGTACCCACCACCCAGGACACTCACCAGGGCAAGGCTGCAGGCTGCATGCCTGCCATTGCTCTGTGTCCTGGGCCTGGCATGGTGCCCCTCCAGGGTGCTCCTGGCAGCTCCGATGGCGCTTCATTGTACCCCCACCACAGGGAGCTGAGCACGTGCTCCAGGCTGACCAAGGCCCCAGCACTGGACACGTTTGGTGTGGGCACACCAGGGACCCATTGACACAGGTGCTGTGGACAAAGTGTACGAAGCAGGCTTAAGCCTGAGTCAGAGTTAGTAGCACCCATAAGCCCTGACCTGTTGCGAGTCTCCACCTGAGCCCCCTGCCCTGGCTCTTGGCCTGGCCACCAAAGCGGCATACCAGTTCTGGCAGTCCAGCTGCACCACCTCGGCTGGGACCAGCTCCCTTGAGGCGTTGGCACTGGGAAGGCCACAGCGGCAAGAGGAGATGGGCACACAGTGCCCATCCTGCACCAGCTGACCAGGGGGACAGCGGCAGCCTGGGGATGGGGGTGGGGAGGACAGACAGGATTCACTGGTCAGGCCAGGCTGTGCTGGTGGAGCCTCTGGCAGCCAGATGGAGTCCCAAGCTTGGTCTCCACAATCTCCCTGGCTCCCTGGGCACAGGAGGGGCTGCTATAGCTCATCCCACAGGTGGCCACCACCTCACAGCCCTCAGGCCCCTGAGAGCACCCGCCTGGGCTCAGCTGAGCCTCACTTTATACAGGGCTTGCTGTCAGTTGCCGAAGGTGACTCCAAGATCCAGGGTCCTGCCCTATATAATTCATGATCCCCTAGTCTGAACCTCCCTCTGCCCTATCCCTCCCCAGACCACACACCCTTTGGGAGCAGGGGGCAGGCTCTGGCAGAACTCCCTGGCAGGGCCACGGCCAAGGTACCTGGGCGGCAGGGTCCCTGCAGGCACTGCACACGGTCCCACAGATCGATACAGCTGCGAGGGCACCGGTTGGCACAGTCAAGGGTGGCCACAGTGTTCCGGGCCTCACAGCTCTCCCCTGGGAACCGGGAGATTAGGCTGTGCTGGGGATGCTGCTGGATCCCAGGGCAGCACCCTCCTCTCCACTGCACTGACCTCCTCAGGTGCCATCTCTGATGTTCTAGCCTCGCCCCCTCCATGCTGGGATGGGAGTTACCTGGGCAAGACCCCACGTTGCAGCTCTCAGTCTGAGCCCATGGCCCCTGACAGCCTCCTCCAAGGGGGCCCCCTGCCTCTCTCCAGCGCAGCCGGAATCCCCCACTGCAGGGCACCTGGCAAGGGCTCCAGGGCCCCCACGGACCCCACTGGCAGGAATCTGGGAAGACAAAATAGAAGTTCCCAGGCACCACCTTTCTCCCTGCCTCCTGCTGTCACCTGAGGCCTTGGGTTCCACCCCAGCAAACACTGGGCCTGCTAGGCTCTCTTCTCAAAGCCTCTTTTTTTTTTGACAGGCAGAGCGGACAGTGAGAGAGACAGAGAGAAAGGTCTTCCTTTTCCGTTGGTTCACCCCCCAGTGGCCGCTGTGACCGGCGCAGCCCGCTGATCCAAAGCCAGGAGCCAGGTGCTTCTCCTGGTCTCCCATGCGGGTACAGGGCCCAAGCACTTGGGCCATCCTCCACTGCACTCCCGGGCCACAGCAGAGAGCTGGACTGGAAGAGTAGCGACCGGGACTAGAACCTGGTGTGCCGGCGACGCAGGTGGAGGATTAGCCTAGTAAGCCACGGCGCTGGCCTCAAAGCCTCTTTCTTGCCACTGCTTGGCCCCCAGCCAGCTTCAAATCCACCAGGGTTAGCAGGCGGGCTAACTCTGGTCTACCGGAATGGACGCATGGCTGGGCCCCCTGTCCAGCTCACCCCACCTACATCCCAGACCCCTCCCCATTACCACGGCAGACCGCAGGGTCAGGGCAGAGGCGGTGCTGGCTGAGGGGGGCAGTGCAGAGGTCCGGGGCTCCAGCCCAGGGTCTCCCTGTCTCAGGGTCCAGACAGAGGCGGTGGCGGTGCTGCTCCGAAGCCAGCATGGGAGCCGAGGCTGGGGAGAGACTGGCTGGGTCCAGCGCCCAGTGCCCCTCCAGGGTGGTTCTAGAGGAGGGGGCCAGGATGCTGGAAGGCAGACAGGGCCCACAGGGCGACCACTCCGACCAGCCGCTCAGAGGCAGAAGACCTAGAAAGGGCAGTACGTGGGTGCCTTTCCCAGAGGCCCCTTGGCCCAGCAGAGGCAAGAGAGGTGGGAAACAGGTAAGGTTGGGGGGTGTGGGGTGCAGGGAAGGCGACCCATCCTCCCGGTTCCTTGGGAACTGCCCCCGCCCTGCCCAGTCCTAGGCTACGTGGACCACTGTCTCCCAAGGCCAGGGTTACCTTGACAGCCCTGGCTGCTGCACTGAAGCGCTCCATGCTGGCATTCACTGTGGGGGAGGGGTCAGTCAGGGTGAGCTGGGGGTGGGGTAGGACCCAGCCCAGAGCTGGGAGGGGAAAATGGAGGGGTGCATATAGGGCTGGATGAGGGAGCTGTAAGCTTGGGCATCTTAGAGCCTCCTGGCCAGAGGCTGGACTAGGCTCTCGGGGCTCATCTTGGCTTTCTCTGCCTGGGTCAGGCTGCCCGCCCACTCTCCGGCCCCAGGCCTCTCATGCTCCCTGCCTTTCCTTGTCACTCACCACTCCTTACAGCCCAGTCGCAGGTGGTCCCCGGGGGCCAGGGTCAACCCGGCTCCCTCTTCTGAGGTGTGCTGGCAGTTACATTCCTCTGGGGGGATGCAGCCCCCCGCTTGCTCCAGCAGCCCCTGTGTGGCAGGAGGGACAGAGGAAGGAATGTTTGGTGATCACTTTGTCACCCGGATACCAGCACAGGCCTGCAGCAGGTGCACATGAGCATTGTTGAGCACACGGGCAGGAAAATGAACACGAACTGGGAAGAGGCTCCAGGGACTGAGGTGTTTGGAGAGAGTGGGGTCACCACGGGCATCGCAGAGAAGAAGAGGGAGTGTGGGCCTCCTTCCACTCGGGAGTCTCCCCCAGTCCCAGCCCTCACCTTGGGGCAGTAGCAGCCGGGCTGGCAGGGCGGCAGGTCCTGGCAGAGATGATGGCTCAGGTGTGTGGCACAGAGCCCAGCACAGGGGGAGCCACAGGGCTGGAACTCAAAGGGAGGTGTGCAGCTGTCCTCTGAGTGAGGGGGAGAGAGACCGATGGGAGAACAGCCCAGAGACACCCTCCCCAACTCTGGACGCCCAGAGCCGGATTGCAAGTTCCCACGGAGGCCCCTCGGGGTCACCTGGTGAGAGGACAAGACTGCCCCCTGCTGCATGTCACGACAGACCCACGTCCCCAGGGAAGGCTCATAGAGTCTGGGCCTCAGAGAGCCAGGAAGCTGCATGGAGGAGGGGGCTGCGGGAGTTACAGGCCAGGCACATGCTCCAGGGATTGGCACACGAGAAACAGGGGCAGAGATGAGGTGGACATGGTACACTCTCCTAGGGGCCACTTCAAGGGGCAACCGACAGTTGGGCCAGCAGCTGGTGGTGAGGGCTTGGGGAGAGCTGCTAGGAAGAGAGAGTAGCTGAGGCCAGGGGAGGAACCGGGGGCAGGGGCAGTGCAGGTGCAGGCAACCGCTCTGAAGTCCTGGGGCACTGGGTCTGCCCTGAGAAGAGCTGGGAGTGCAGGGGAGCGCTTGGAAGCTACTGCTCTGACTCAGCTGCCTGGCTTCCCGCCGATGGGCCTCACCTGAGCAGTTGCTGGTGAGACAAGGCCGGAAGTGGCCATCCAGACGTGTGCAGGTGGCCCCTGCCCCAGCATCTCCAGAGGTGGGGCTCTGGTGTCGGTAGCGCTGCTGCACCAGTACCTGGCATGAGCAGCGTGTCCAGCTGCTCCAGCTGCTCCACATGCACTGCTCTAGGGACCAGAGTGGGGGACAACAGGCTCGGGCCTCCTGGAGCCCTGCAGATTCTCCCGTGCCTGTCCTCCCCTCTCATCCAGCTCTAGCCAGGACCCTGGCACAGCAGAAGGCCAGGAGGGAACCAGAGGCCCCTCAGACTGGCCTCCCGCTCACCCAGCAGGGAGCTACATTACAGAAGGCTCTGAAGGGAAGCAATGGAAAAAAGGGGAAAAGAAGTGGGCAAGATTGGGGGGTAAACAAAGACATGTTTCTGGGTGATGGTCCGGGGGTTAGGAAACACGCATTAATCCCCGACTTCTCCAAGGCAGGAAAACAGGGCAGCAGGCCTGCCTCCCAAGCACACTCACCCAGGCAGGGCCCCAGGTAGCAGGCTCGGGTGTCCAGGTGGGCAAAGGTGCCATTGCAGGTGGGGTCTGCCTCAGCCAGCAGGCAGGGGCAGGACCCAGGGCGGGAGGCCAGGCCTGAGCCACAGCTTTGGGAACAGGGCCCCCATGGGCCCCAGGAGCAGGCCTCCAGCAGGTCCAGGCAAGGCTGCTGCCCGCAGTGTTGTGTCTGGGTGTTGGGGCCATGGCACGGGGTTCCCCCAGGGCTGGGGGTCGGGCCCGTACAGGATCGGCTGCGAACCTGGTTTCCACCTCCACAGGAGACGGGGCAGTCGGACCAGGGGGACCACATGGTCCAGGTCCCAGGCACTGCGGGAGGGCACAATGAGGTTGGGAGAGTAGAGGCAGAGGCAGGGGCAGGGGAGGGGACCTTTTGTGGCACAGGGGGTGGGCAGTTGGGTGGAGGGAAATAGGGGACACAGAGCAGACAGCAGGCAGGGCATGAGGGCAGTGGGGTAGGCTGAAGTGGCAGTGGGATGCAGCCCAGACCTGCACACTTGGTGTCTTCTTTGCAGACCACACCCTCCGGGGTGCAGGAGCTGGGGGAGAAACTCAGATTCAGGGGCCCTGCTGTGCAGCAGGAGGGTCCCAGGCACCCTTCCCCATCTGCACTCACCACTGCTGGCACTCGCCCTGCAGCCAGCTGTCCCCTAGGGCTCGGGGGCGGGTGCCATGCAGGCACAGCGGTGGGCATGGGGCCTGAGGGCAGGGCTGGCTCTGTGATTGCTCCTCCTGACACTCTGGGGCCCAGGAACCTGATGTGGAGGACCTGAGCAGGGCCCAGGCAGAGAAGGTGAGGAGACAGCTCAGGCCCTTACCACCCACCCTTCTGCTTCCTGGGGAGATACCCTCAGCAGAGACCCTAGGGTGGCACAGAAGACAGCTAAGGAGACCAGGGACAGAGCTGACCCAGCACAGGAGACATGCAGTTGGCAGAGACAGTAGGACCAAGGAACACCATGTCACCAAGTAAGAGCACCGGGAAGAGGGAAGCCCTGGTAGGACAGGGGACACTAGCGTCCCCTCACCCCATACCGGAAGCGGCTCTGCTGCCCGTGAGGCCCACAAGAGTGGCTGCAGGGACTCCAGGCTGACCAGCGGCTCCAGGCACAGTGAGTGGGAGGCGGGCAGGGCTGCGCCGTGCAGGAGAGGCGGCCGGCCCAGCAGGAGCAGTTGTTGCAGGCCTCCTGGTGCTGGCTCCCCGGGGCCCAGCTGTGGCCCTGTGCATCTGTGCACTCGCAGTGCCCGATTGGCACGCAGCCGCCATCCTGCTCCAGGGACCCTGCAGGGAGGCTGGTGCTGCCACCCTGGCCCCACCACCCCTTCCCACTGTGCCATCCCCAAATGCATCTGAAGAGACTTCAGCACCTACCCTCGGAGCAACGGCAGCCCGGCTGGCACGCCTGGTCTCCCTGACACACAACTCCATCCTGGAGGTCCGAGCAGCGGCGGGGACAGCGGTTGGCGCAGGTGACCAGCTCCATGCCCGCTGGGCAGCCTTCCTCTGAGTGGCGAGGAAGCCCAGAGTGAGGAAAGTGCTGAGCCCTAGGGCGCCAGCAGGGGCCTTTCCTCCTCCCTGGCTTCTCCCCTCCCATGCAGGTGCCCACGGAAATGAGAGGTACTTGTGGAGGCCCTGGGGTTGGGACAGTCTTCAGCAGAAAATGATTTGTTGTCATCCGCCATTAAGTTCTCCCACCTGGCGGAATAGGGCTGGATTTGTGTGCTCATCCCCAGGGGCCTGGGTGGGGGTGCAGTGTGGGTGCCGAGTGCCTCCCTGAGAGCCTGGCACCACAGAGGAGCCAGGGCTCACAGGGCTGGGAGAGTCAGTTAAAGAAGGAGTAGCCAGGGTGAGTGGCGTTGTGGCAGAATGGGTTAAGCCATTGCCTGTGAGGCTAGTGTCCCATATAGAGCAAGGTTCAAGTCCTCTCTGCTACGCTCCTGATGCAGCTCCCTGCTAATGTGCCTGGGGAAGCAGTGGAGGATGGCCTGAGTGCTTGGGCCCCTGCACCCAATGTGGGAGACCCAGATGAAGCTTCTGGCTCCTGGCTCCCAGCCCTGGCCATTGTGGCTGCTTGGGGAGTAAACCAGCAGATGGAAGCTCTCTCTCTCTCTGCACCTTTCAAATATATATATATATATATATATATATATATATATATATATAAAAATAGGGGAGCGGAGGGTCCAGAGCTCAATTCCAGCCCAGCTGGCTCAGCCCATACCCCACAGGGACTAGGCACACTCCTGACTGTGTCACTGGCAAACCCCTCAAAATCTTGACAGGATCAGGTGGTTTTTCAGGAGCTGGAGATGGGGGAAGATGGCAGGAGGGTGTGGTGGGCAGGGGGTGGGCTCCTGCAGCTCATCTCTGGGCCAGGGTGCAGGTGACAGACACACCCCCCTGGAGGGTGGGGTGGCAGCCCATCTCCCTGTGTGTCACATGGGCACTGATGGGAAGCATTTGAGGTGGCAGGGGACAGAGTCGGCAGAGGAAGCCCGACAGGGTTGGGAGTGGCTGTCACCATTGCCATACCACAGGGCATGGGGTTGCAGAGCCGGACGTGGTGCCTCTCCCCAGCACAGGGGGCACCCCCATTCTTGGGTGGGGGGCTCGAGCAGCTGCGGCTCCTCAGGGACTGGCCTCCTCCACAGCTCCGGTCACACCAGGACCAGGGGCTCCAGCGTGACCAGCCCCCGGGCACTGTGTGCACAAGAAGACAGCTTCATGAGGGGTCTGCTCCAGCAGTGAGGCCGCACACATCCCACAAACCTGGGCCAGGGTCAGGGTGAGGCAAGGACAAGGCTGGCTAAGGCCAGCTTGGGGCCTGGGAGGGGCACTTGCACGGGGGCCTCCCTGGGGACAGCCACGGAGGGGCCTGGTGCAGGCCCTGGTCTCTCCCAGCCTGGCTCTCACCTGGGCAGGCACGCAGGTTGCAGAAGCGGCGCTCCTGGTAAGCGGTAAGGATGTCCGGGCACCAGTGGCCGCCAGGCCCAGGAGGATGGTACGCCCGCAGGCGGCGCTGCTGGCCCACCCCACAGCTGCGTGAGCAAGGTGCCCAGGGGCCCCAGGCCGCCCAGGAGCAGTTCCCAGGCACACAGCCAGGACCGGAGCACAGGGGCAGCAGCTCTGCAGGTCCAAGTGGAGCTGGAGTCAGCAGATCCTGCCTCGCCCTCTCCGCACCTGCCTCGCTCAGCTGGAGACCTCCTCTGTGAGGGAAGCCTCGACCTCATCCAGAGTGCAAGGCTCCCATTCAGGATCGGACTCTCACTGGGCAATAAACCCAGACTGATGGGGCTGCTGTGGGATAGGACCAAGGAATCTCCTGGAAGTTGGCAGGTTCCCCAACAGCTGGTGGGGTTGGCAAAGAGACCTAGGTCTGGAGTTGGACTGACTTGTGGCTGGATGTCAGCAGCACAAATGGGTCATTGCTCGGGCCATTAGGTGTGGGGGGTTGGGGGTCGTGCTGGGGTTGGAGATCACAGCCGGCGGGCGCACCTGTGCATGAAGGCATGTTGCAGGGGCGCTCCTGCGTGGGGTCCCCCACAGTGCAGTTAGCAAGGCAGAGGCGGCTGCGGCTGCGCCACGCAGGGTGAGTGGGGTCTGTGCAGCTGCGGGAGCACGGGGACCACGGGGACCACGGGCCCCAGCCACCTGCGAGGAGCGGGAGGGAGGGGCAGCTCCAGCTGAGTCAGCCTGGCCTCCAGCCCCTCCTGGAAGCAGGGCTGCAGAGGGAAAGGGGCCCGCATTTCTCTTCCCAAAGGGAGACCACGTGGGAGACGTGCAGGGAGTCTGGGGCTACCTGGAAGGCCCGTCACTGGCTCCACTGTGGACCCTTCAGCCCCTGTGTCAAAAGAAACCCTGCTCAGCACACCCTGTCCATACTGGCAGGGCGCCACCACCCCGAGCTGTCACAATTTGGCCCAGCCTTCCCTCTCCTGTGGACACTCCAGGCTCAGTGTTTTCTCACAGGATCCAGCCTTTGCTTAAACCTTTCCTGCTGCCTGGCATTCCTTCCCTTCTAATGCTTGTCAAGGTTCTCACCATTCCTCAAAACTCTCGGAAACTGCCTCCTCCAGGAAGCCCTCCTGGACTGCTCCTCTAGGGGAATCTTTTTCTCCCTGACTTTCCACAGCACTGTGCACCTTCAAATAGAGCTCACCACATGTTGAAATCGGGCACTGGACTCCACGGCCAGGGCTCCTCACCCCCACCCCCATCTACATACAGCATGCTGCCTCTGCCAAGAGCTCCGAAGTGCAAGCTGAATGTGCCCCAGTGAACATATAGAACCAGCAGGTGGGAGGAAGAAAGATCCAGACACAGCAACAGGGACACACACGCAGGAGAGGATGAGGGGCAGATGGAAGCGGATTCGGCCGCCACTCACCCAGCCCTGGCAGCCCTGGTGCTGCCCACCACCTTCCCCCTTCCCTTACCAGGGCAGTCCGGGCTGGGGCAGTACTCCAGGTCCTGATGGCGCCCAAGGCAGCCCTGGCCACCAGGAGGGTGCAGGGGGCGCACACACTGGCGGCTGCGTGTACGGGTGCCCAGCCCGCCACAGGAGTGCGAGCACGGGCCCCAGAGGCTCCAGGGGCCAAAACCACCACGGGCCTCAGGGCAGTCCTCCATGGAGCAGGACAGCTTCCCATGTGCACAGGAGCTGGGGAGAAAGCCAGGGGTGAGGCACAGGGAGGGTGGACGGGGAGAAGGGTGTGGGCCCCAAAGGACAAAGAGATGGAGCCCGGGTTAGCTCAGGACCAGAGAGCAGACCAGACCCCCTCCCTAGACCTCAAATCTCCCCCAGGCTGCCCAGTCCAGCCCCCACAGTCCCCTCACCAGTTGCCGCAGCCTATCCGAAGCATCTGGCCTGAACCCAGCTCATCCCCAGGCCCAAGGGGCTGAGCCTCCTCTCCCAGAAAGGGCAGGTAGTCCCCAGGATGGGTGCTTGTGGCTCCCAGCTCCTGCAGCAGCCACGCTGTCAGCACGCAGGGGCACTCCTGAGTGGGCGGGCAGAGGATACAGTGCCTTTGCACATCCTCCAAGGAGACCGGGGAAGGGGGCAGTGTGAGCACCTGGAGGAGGCTCTGGGGGCAGGGGCACGGTTGCCTTGCGTCAGGGATGTGAATGATTGTGAGAGGTGCGTGGCCCATGGGCTAAGCCCGAGGGATCAGCTGCTTCCCCACATGTGTGGAGCACTAGAGCAGGACACAGCAGGTATGAACAGAGGCCTTTAGAGGACAGGGCTTGGCAACAGGCAGAAAGAGCCCCATCCAGGAAACGGAGGAATTGGACGACTGAGTCAATTCTGCAGCTGACTGCACGGCTCTGATGTGCCCCTTTCCCTGGGCCCCCGTGTCATTTGTCTCTAAAGTCAGGTAGGTGGGACCGGCTGGCTGCTCAGGTCCCTTCGGGCCATGGCTATGGTTAAGGAACTGGGCTAGGAGAGGGGGCGGAGGCCACTGGAGAGCCAGTTTCAGGACTGGGAGAGGAATCCCGGTGTGCCAGCCGGGCTCCACAGAGCTGAAGCAGCACCGCTGAGCCCTGCACCTGCCTGCCAGAGTGAAGGGCGAGGAGGTAAAAGAGGGGCAGTGAGGACCCCCACCCCCTGCACAGGAGGGCAGGGATGAGGCTGGGCCAGTGGGGTATGGACGCACAGTGGCAGAGGCCCCCTTCCTGGCCAGCTGGGTGCTGACCTGCACGCAGGCCAGCTGGTGCTGGAAGGCACCCTGGGGGCAGTGGCAGCCTTCCTCGCAGCCGTCGGCGAAGCAGTCCACTTGCCCCGTGATGTGGGCACAGGAGAAGGGGCAGCCCTCACCGGGCTGGCACTCGCGGTACAGGCGGCCGGCCGGGCAGCCTGCCTCTGGAGAAACACCTGTGTCAGAGCCCAGCTCCTGTCCACTGCTCAGGCTGCCTCCCTCGGGGCTCGCCCTGTCTGCGGCCTACCTTTGGCCCTCCCCCCAGCACCCATGCCCCCGCCCTGGGCAGTGCCCCTTCCCACAGGCTCCCCTCACCTGGCTGCCTCCTCCTTCACTTGCAGGAGAAGGGACAGGCGAGGGGACAGGGAGGGGGAGCTCAAAAGGTGCCCGTGAGGTTAGCCAGGAGGCCAGATGAGACCCAGCTGGGTGGGAGTGTCCAGGGCGGAGGCTGGCTGGGGCTCACCTCTGCACACCTGGGTGTGGCAAGTACGGCTCTGGCGGGCGTTCCCCGGGCAGGGGGGTCGGGGACAGTGCCGGGAGCGCAGCTGCTCTCCTCCGCCGCAGGAGACACTGCAATCCTCCCAGGGACCCCAGGAGTCCCACACTCCCAGGCCAGGGCAGCTGGGCACCTCCTGGCACTGCAGGATGCCTGCCACGCAGGTGCTGCAGATAAGAGAGGGCATCCAACGCGGGGCCTGGCCAGCTGCCCTGCTCCCTGGGGGCCCCCCTTCTCTGGGCTTACCAGTTGTCACATGGCCCGGTCACCACTTCTCCAGGCTCCAGGCTTTCCCAAGAACTGAGCCCGGACCCTGCTGAACGACTCCGGTTCTCAGGAATCCCTGAAGGGCATGAGAATGGGGTGGGGCCCAAGCCTAGCACTCCCCTGTAACTCCCTCCTCCTGCCCCCTGCCTTTTACTCCCCTCCCTATCAGCCTCCACCTCATGGCACCCTGGGATATCCTGGGATGTGGGGTGGGGACGGGTCGGGGGAGATGCAGGGGACCATGTTGGGGGAGGGGAGAGGCACAGGGGCCAGGCAGGGTGGCCTTGCAGTACTCGAGGGCTCTGGGCCAGGCGCGGGCAAGGGTGGCACTGACCCATGGCTCCAGGCTGGTACTGGCAGCGGCAGCGGGCTGGGTGCACGCAGAGCCCGTCCTGAAAGAGCTGGCCCGGGGGGCACCCGCAGTTGGGCTGGCAGCCGGTTGAGCCTGGCTGGCACACACTCCCAGGGGACAGGTCCTGGCAGGAGCGGGGGCAGGGCCGCCCACAGGGGAGCAGAGCCAGGCCACCCCCACAGTCTAGGGCAGGAGGGAAGCAGACAGGGTAGGTGCTGAGGGACTATTCTGACAGGTGAGACCCTGCCTGCCATGCCCACTACCTGCTGGGACTGGTCACCTTGCTCCAACCCACAGGTGAGTGACCTGAGGGCTGTCCCTGGCAGTGACATGGATATCGGGTCAGAGGTCAGAGGCAGCAGCAGCTCCCAGCCTGTGCCCGAGTCCTCACCTGTGCACTGTGTGGCATTGTCCTGACAAGGGTGACTCTGCACGTGGGCCCCCAGGCAGGGCCTGCCTCCCTCAGAGGTGGGGGGCCGGCTGCAGGCCCGGCTCCTGTGGGACAGTCCCAGGCATGTGTCGCAGGGAGACCACGGCTCCCACGGACTCCAGGCTCCATCCACTATGTGGGCAGACAGAAGCACCCACCTCAGGAGCGCCCAGGTTATCCTGGGTGCAGAGATGTTTTGGGGGCCTGGGGGAAGGGGGCATCGCACCTGGGCAGGTGGCAGGGCTGGGACAGGCCTCCCTCTGATGCTCAGCCTCAGCCTCCCCGGGGCACGAGGCGCCCCCGTGCTGAGGCGCAGGGCAGGTGCAGGCCCGGGAACGGGTTCTCTTCTCGCCCCTGCAGGGCTGGGAGCAGGCTGTCCACTCTGACCATGGGCACCAGGCTCCAGGCACTGCCAAAACAGAGGGCTCTGGGATGTAGTCCAGCTCTTCCTGCAGCTCAGGCCCCATGTGGCCCAGGGCCACTTGTCACCTCCCTGCAAGCTGGGCACATACCTGGGCAAGGCAGGTCTGTGCAGTTCAGCCTCCCCTCCATGCAGGTGCTGGGCAGGGGGACACACACAGGGGAGGAAGAAGAAGCACCTCATCCCTTGCCTCCCTCGCATGCTCCCCAGTTCCTGCTGGGGCCTCAGCTCTGCTCTCCTCCCCTCTCCTGAGCCTCTTGAGCCTGTTTCCTGTCCCACTCAGTCCCCCAAGCGTGTCTCCAGCCAGGATGCCCTGCAGCAGACCATGTGGGCCCACAGCAGGTGCGAACCCCATGTCTGCTGCTCCTCCTGCCCTCCTCCACTCCCCAGGAGCACAGGCTCAGCCCTCTGCAGACACACAGTGCTGGCTGCCTCAGTTCCCCTGTGGATAAGACAGGGGTCATGGTGGCCGCCCTGCACACTCTCGGGGACAGCGGAGACTCTGGAGAGCTCCGGAGCACAGCTCGGCGCATCCTTCTCTCACCAGTGGTTGCAGCCGTCTGGCCTCAGCAGCTGAGCGCCTGGACGGTGCCGCTGCCCGGTCAGCAGGTCCAGGCAGCTGCAGTGATCCGGATGCACACAGATGACACCGTCAGCACTCAGCACCTGGCCCGGTGGGCAGTAGCAGCCGGGCTGGCAGCGCCACACGCAGTGCTGGGGGATAGCAAGGGAGGGCTCAGATCAGTAGTTGGGGGTGGGGGGGATCTCAGACAATCAACCACAAAGCACTCTGGAGGGACAGCAAAGTGGCCAGCAGGGTTGGGGGAAGTGTGACCTCCAGTTCAGAGGCTGCACATTTTGCTAAGAAAGGCCAGGGACGGGGAAGGGTCGGGGGAGAGGGGGACAAGTCAGACTTGCGGTTTTCACTCTGGGGAAGAGAGGGGAGGGAGGAGCAGCCGTGAGGAGGGCCACTGCGGCTCCCCAGGGAATGGATCTGGACCGAGGTGTCTGAGAGAGTGAAGCCCCAGTTCCTAAGTGTCTCGGGCTCAGAGAGTGACTGGGGCTGATAGCCTGGGAGTTGAGGTTGTGCAGGCGCCCTGGGCAGCTGGCTGGGCAGGGGATGGGTTTGGGAAGGAGCTGGGAGCCAGCCAGATCACAGTCTTGGTGAGCCCTCCTCTGCCTCCTCCCTCACTGCTTGGGAGCCTTCCCAGGCTTCTCTTAGCCAGCTCCCCACGCCACGGCCTCAGGGCACTGTCCTACTCCTCAGAGATCTTACAGAGCCAGCCAGTCTAGGATTCCTATCTGCCTTTCCCAGCCCAGAACACAGGATTGGGTCAGGGAAGGGGCGGTGGGGACGGGGATCTGTGGCCCCCATGGGCACTCAGCGACTATTCACACCCGGGGCATTGGGAAAGTTATGGTGGAGCCAGCTCCCCTCCCGCAAGTTCATGGTATGTATACCATATAAATTCTAATCTGAGAGATGTTTGGTGTTCTGAAGCCAAGGGCTGCAGCAGGAGGCGGACTCCCTCTGGATAAAGGGAGCTGGCCTGGTGGGCGTGGTCACCTGAACCCACTTCCCAGCCTCATCCCCGCCCCCGTCGGTGCTGGGCTGCCCAGCACGGGGCAACAAGAGGCCATGACCCCAAAGCTACACCTTGCAAGTATAGAGACTTGCAAGCTACACCTTGCCCCGACTCAGTGACCCCCCTAAGCCAGCGGTCAGGGGTCAGGTGGGGTCAGGTGGGGTCAAATGAGATGCCGAGGGTGCCCAGACTCACCACTAGGTCATCGCAGGAGCGAGGGCAGGGAGGGCCACAGGTGCTGTACTCTGTCCCTTCAATGGTGGTGCAGTTGGTCACTGTGGCAGGGCAGGGTGAGGTGAGAGCCCTGTGGGGTCCTTGACACGCTGCCTCCAGCTTTTCCCTTGTCCCTCTGGGCCTCCAATCCCTGGCAGGTACCTGGGCATGGCCAAGCCTGGCAGGCTTCTCCCTGGGCCTGAGGCCCCTCACAATAGTCCCCCAGGCCCTGGGGTGCAGGCTGGTCACAGGCCCGGGTCCGGCTGCGCAGGCCTCCCCCACAGCTCCGGCTACAGCTGGACCAGGGCCCCCAAGGACCCCAGCCCCCGGCTCCTGGGGAGACAACAGAGGAATGAATGGGGAGGAGATGGCAGGCACAGTGGCCGCCACCCTGGACAAGCACTCACGGTCGCACGGGGGCAGCAGGCAAGGCTCTTCCTCAGCCTCTGGGCCTGGGCAGAAAGATGTGAGGGTGGCTGGTGGGGGCAGTGGGGCCATGGTGCTCGGCGCCACGGTGGGGGTCCTGGCACAGAAGCGGTGCCGATGGCGGTGGGCAGGGCCACAGGAGGCTGAGCACATGCTCCACGGGGTCCAGGGTGACCATGTGGGCTGACCTTGAGGGTGTGCGGAAGGTGAGGGCAGAGAGAAGGTGAGCAGTGCTGGTTGGCCTGGGCCAGGGAGAGGCCATCCCAGCCCCATGTCCCCCACCTTTCCCAAGGGCTTCCATCCCCTGGCCCACTGCTGCTGCTGAGTGAGAAGGTAGGGTGCCTGCCAGAAATGGGGTCCCCTTCTCACCCTGTTCACAAGGCCAGGAGCTGCAGTTGGCGATGAGCCCAGCCACACAGGAGCTGTGAGGGGAGTGGGAGGGGTCTGGGTGGTCTTAAGGGCTGTACTGTGCCTCCCTGAATCCCTAAGTCCTAGTCCCCAGTACCTATAAATGTGTTCTGATTTGCAAACAGGGGTCACCAAATCAAAGGGAGGTTGTTAGGCTGGGCCCCCGTCCCACCAAGCCCTGTCTTTCTAAGAAGAAGAGATCTGGACACAGACACACAAGGCGGGCCGGATGAGGAGAGATGCAGGGAGTGGCCGACATCTATAAGCTATGGAACACCAGGAGTGGAGAGGGCCCTCGCCTCAGCAGGGAGCTGCCCGGTCTTGGCACAACCCGAGTCTGCTATTCAACCCCGCGGTGTGCATGCAGCAAGACAGGTGGGACAAGGGGAGGGGAGAGGCAGGCAGGTGTGGCCTCTGGTGTACAGCTACTTGGAGTGGGGGTGGCGCCTCACCAGTTCTCACAGGGGCGGAGCACAACACTGCCGGGGGCGTGGAGGCGCCCCCCATGGGCGCAGGGGCAGTCCTGGGCCGGCACACACACATTATTCTGGAAAGAAATCCCAACCGTCAGCCTGCCCTACCCACAGTCAGCCCGACCCCCCCAAACACCACCTGGGCTCCCACCAGGAAGACGTAGACTCTGGGCTGCAGGGGTCAGGAGCCCCCAGTTTCTGGGAGAACAAGACCAAACCCCCCTCGGCAGGACATAACAGCAGCTATGCAAATAGGCAATGTGCCACTTCCACAGCAATGGTGTGCAAATAAAACCCATGTTTCATCAGCAAAAGACAAATGGACAAACCCAGCGTGCACGGGGAAGTAGGTGGAGTCCCTAAGATCCAGAAGAAATCGGCCAAGTAGCAAAGTCAAACACACTGAAGTTCATGGGCCAGGCCCTGGGGAGCCCTGGGCCTGGCTCCCGTGACCAGGCACATGATTCCTCCAATTTTATGAAGAGGAGACTGAGGGATGAGGCTGCTACTACAGGAGAGCCTCATGGCACTGGACTGACAAAAATCTGTCCCATAACCACAGCAGCTCCGGAACCCTGCATCCTCACTCCACCCTTCCCAACAATGTTTCTGAGCCCTGGTTCTCAATATTCCAGTCTTGAGGTTCAGGTCAAGGAAGCCCTGGAAGGTTCCTCCAGGAAGCCCTTCACAACTGAGTCTCAACCTGCAAAGTTCACTTCCTGTCCATCTGATGGCTCTCCCTCCCCCGAGCCCAAGACTGAGCATACAGGAGGTGCTCAATAAATAACCGGTGATAATCTGAGAGGACACAGCTCTTGAGCAGGGAGATTCATTTGGACCTTCTAGATCTATCCCCATTTGCAAATGAGAAACCAGAGACTCGCCCAGGTCACCTGCTGGCTGGTGCTGAGCCATGACCCTGAGCTCAGAGCTTTCCTCAACGATGTAGGGTCTCCCTGACTCCAGCCCATAATCCTTAGCTCTGCCCCTGCCCAGGTCCCGTCAGTCCCTCCCCTGCCATGCCCAGGTCCCCAGCAGCTGCGGGGGCCTCAGCAGTGGCTGTCAGGAGGACACTCACCAGCAGGAGCATCCCTGGTGGGCAGTAACAGCCGGGGTGGCAGGTCTGGTTGGCGCCTCTGGGGGCACTGAGCTCTGCACAGGAGGCAGGGCCCTGGGCACAGTCCAGCCACCGCTTGTCCCCGGGACACATGCCTGGCATTGGCCCTGGGGACATGGAAATTGACACCCTTGTCCTGGCACACAGCTCTCCCCTGTGCTCCCAAACTGCTGGAGGCATTAGCCCTGGGTTTGGCTGGGGTCGTCACGAGAGCTGCACAATGGCTGTGGGGAGGGGGCTGACTGCACCTTGGGTTGGTGGGGACAAGACCTGGAGGGTCCCCAGGGCGGCCCTCACCGGCACAGGGCTGCAGGCCACAGGTAGAGAACTCCATAGGGCTGTGCGGGCCACTGCCTTGGGTGCGGTTCCTGTAGCCACCTCCACAGGGTACGGAGCACGAGGTCCAAGGGCCCCACTCCCCACTGGGACCTGGAGGTGGTACTCAGGTCACTGCAGGCCATGCCTGCTGCACCCAGGACACCTTCTCGTCCCGCCTAGACACCCTGGGCACCCCTGCTCGCTTCACCTCCCCCCTCACATCCACCCTCAGGAGATCTCACACCTCAGACGCAGGGCAGGGGGCTCCAGGATTGGGCCTAGAACTGGTCTGGGCTCAGGTGAGGATTCGGGGGTCCTCTAGGGAGGGTCTGTGGGGAATGGACGCCCAGGGCTCTCTGGGGACTGTCTTTCAGTGATGTCTCCTAGGGAAGTCCCATGCACCTTGGGGTCCTGGGGTGTGGACAATGGGAGCATTCCTGGGTTCTCTCTGAAAGGGTCTTTCAGGGGGAGGTCTCAGGACCTGGGTCCCTGCTCTCACCTCGGCATGGCTGCAGGCTACAGAATTCAGCCTCCATGTTGGGGCCCTGGCACTCAGCACCTCCAAAGGCTGCTGGGGGTGCAGTGCCCGCCCGGAAGCGGCGCCGAATGCCCACGTTGCAGCTGCGGCTACAGAGACTCCATGGGGTCCAGGGACTCCAGCCACAGTCCACTGCCGGGGTGTGTGTGTGGAGGGGTGGAGGGCAGTGTGTGAATCCAGGCCAAGCCCACAGGACCCTGATGTCCCTGGGGCACCACCAACACTCCCCACGTTTCATCTTGGAAGGGACCCAAATCCCCGACGACCCCTGAGGACCCACCACTGAGGAGGTACCTGGGCAGAGCTCCGAGGTACATATCATCTTGCCAGAGATACAGGTGCTGCAGAGAGAGTGGCCAGTGAGGCCCAACCTGGCCCACCCTGGCCACAGACAGCTCTGCCCTTAGACCCCTGTGTATCTGTCCCCAGGGGGAAACAGCTGGGGGCTGGGGGCAGGGCAGGCCGCTGCACAGAATGGAAAGCCCAGATCTGGGGAGTGAGACAAGTTGCCCTGTGTCCCATGCAGAGTTCACCAGGAGACCCACACCCCCACCCCGGAGTACCCCTGACTGGATCCTTCAGTCCCTGGTTTTATCAGGAGTCACCTCTCTATGCTTTTTATTCCACTTGAAACCACTAAACACACCACGTGGAAACGACCTGGAGTGACAGGACCAGGGGCAGCGACTTAGAAGGCGCTAGCATTCTCCTAGGAGGGAGAACGGGATGCCTTCCTTCCCAGTAAGTGTTCTCCAACACTTGCTCTAAAGCTTGTTTGACAGATACAGGAGGTTCCAGATAAAGAACCTAAGAAAGAGGGAGGAGAGAGAGAGAGAGAGAGAGAGAGAGAGAAAGAGGGAGAGAGAGAGAGAAAGAGGGAGAGAGAGAGAGAGAGAATATTAATATAAAGGAGGAAATTGAGGAAGTAGCCAGGGGATAGAAAGAAAAAGGGAAGAAGAAAATGAAAAATTAAGACAACAAAATGAAACAAAAAGGAAGAAAATGAGGGCAGAGGGTTAGAGCACCCTCTGCTGGAAGATCCTGGCATCAGCTTTGAGCAACCTCTGTGAGTTGAAATCCAGCTCAGCCCAGGCAGGCCATGATATTCAGGAAAGAAGCAGAGGAAACTGGGCGAAGCTAGAAGCCCCTCCCCCAAGTCTCTAGTTCCATCATGTCACTCCAGCTCCCTGAGACCATCTCCCACAAGTCACTGAGGCGGTCGTGTCTCATTCCTTCAGCATTCCCAGGGCCCGTGCATGGCACCTAGGACTGCTGATGTGCTTAGGGGACAGGGGTGTGATGTGTATGTGTGTGTGTGTGTGTGTGTGATGTATGTGAGAGAGAGGCCATCACACCTGCCCACCTCCAGGGCCATGCAGCCCCTCCCCCACCCGCTAGCCCGAGCACTGGGGACGTACCAGTTGTTGCAGGGGTCCAGGCGGGCCACTGCTCCCGGTGTGTAGAGCTGCCCGTGCAGCTGGCAGGGGCACTGGCCGCGAGGCAGGCAGCTAGCATTGTGCAAGAAGAGGCCAGGGGGGCAGGCGCAGCCAGGGACACAGGATCCCATGCACTCCACCCCGGGGCTCTGTGCCAGGCACAGCCGAGTGCATGGGCCGCCCTCTTGCTGACACTGCTCCTCCGAGCGGAACACCATGTCCCCTGGGCACTGGGCTGGATGGGAGATCAGCAGATCTGGGCAGGGGTGGGAGGAAGAAAAGGGAGAGCGAGGGGCAGCAAGCCTGCAGGCAGCTGGCTACCAGGGGCCTGCTGCCCAGGACCGAGGTGGAGGAAGCCCCTCCAGGTCCCACTGCAGGCTTGCTCCAGTGTCTGGAATGGCACCCGCAGAGGCACGCGTGAGGGCATAACTGGAGGACACCCCTTCTCTGGGCTAGGAAGAGTGGGTAGGGGACCAGGCCTTGCCAGGACTGCTTTGTGCATTGTGATTCTGGCCACGAGTGGGCTCTGCTCAAAGGCGGGAAGGAGCCAGCCCTCTGGGTCCCAGGTGTGGGACGGAGGCTGCTCCCTGGAGAGGTGAGGTGTCTGCCACGGCCGGGGCCTGGTCCCCAGTCGTGTGTGTGTATGTAGGGCTCTGAAGGAGACACAGGAGACCTCACAAGTCTCTCTCAGCTTGAGCCATGGCCTGTCCTGAAGGCAGAGGTCAGCCATGTGCCCAGGTGTGTGTGGGGGAAAGGTTGAGGTCCCCAGGAGCAGGTGGAGAATGGGGCGGGAGTCTGGTACCTGTGCAGGGCTGTGTGTTGCAATCCCTGGTCTGACTGTGGGGCCCCTGGCAGGCTGTGTCCCCAGGAGCTGAGCCAGAGCAGTTCCGTCCCCGTGTCTGGAAACCTCCATCACAGGGGGCTGAACAAGCTGACCAGGGAGTCCACAGACCCCAGCCGGCCGGCACTGCCAGGAGGAATGGAGTCCGTGGTCACAGTAACAGCAGGTAAGGCGTGCAGGAAGGTTCAGAGCTATGGGGTGGGCAGCCCCCACCAGGATCCACCCCCGGCCCCTGGCCCCAGGACAGTCCCAGGCCCACACTGCTAATCCCACACCTGCTTCCTGGGGCAGAGGCCGCAGGACAGTGGCCTGCTCTGCCCCCTCTGTGGCCTCCCCTCCCTAGGAGTCCAGAAGCTGCTCAAGGCGTCCTTCTTCCTGGCTCCTCATTGCATCCCAGCATGTAGGTCACTCCAGGGATGGGAGGGGTTTACCTGGGCACACAGGGGGGCTGCAGGGCTCCTCCTGGGTGGACTCTCCAGGGCAGGGTATGGCTCCAGAGCCGGGGCACAGCCGGGCACGGCGGCGCCAGCCTGGGCCCCCTCCAGGGACAAGGCAACTTTGAGAGCAGGTGGTCCAGGGCGTCCAGGCCGTCCAGCCCGGTGCCTCTGGAGGAGCATACAGGACAGGGGCAAGAGGATACAGGATGGATGCTCAGCCCCTCAGCTCACGGGGACCCCACACTCTCCAGTCCCACTTCTAAGGCTCAGGAGCCAGAAGCAGAGCCTCCCACTGCAAGTGGCCCCAGTTCCACCCCCCCAACACCTCCACCCATGGGTCCAGCTGGCAGCTGGCCATGGGCCCACCCATCCTCACATTTCCTGTGGACACCTGTCAGTGCACTGGCCGCCAGTCTCCATCAGCCCCTCCTCTCCTGAAGAGCTTGCCCCACCCACCCTCCTTCTCAGGTTCCTCCCCCTCTCTGTTTAACTCTCCCTGCCTTGAATTTGCAGGCTCTGCCTGCTCAGTGGAGACCTCAGGACACCACCGGGGACGTGGGAAGCAGGGAGCCATCTGGTACCTTCTGTTGTGCGACACACACAACCAGCCCAGGCGGCCACACCACTCGCCGGCCCTGCGGCCACTGGCTCCACCAGGCAAGCCATCTGCCCCTTACCTGTCAGAGCCCTGTCCCCCAACACCAGTTTAGGGGCTGCTTCTCAGCCTGTGAGGCTTCGCTGGCACTGGCTACCAAGTCAAAGGGCATGCAATGGGAGGAGGAAGGGGGCTCTGCCGTACCTGTACCACACTCCGTGTGGCAAACCTGCAGCTCCCGCGTGTCACCTTCACATGGGGCACCCCCATAGGCCGCTGGAGGGTTGGAGGGAGACCTGGGAGCAGAGGCAGCCTCTGGGTCCCCCACTTTCCTGTCCCTGCCCCCACTTCACCTTCTGGTTCCTGTCCTCCACCTCCCCCACCCCCATCCCACTTCTCTCATCTCCTCTCCCTCTTTGTACACACCTGAACCTGGCCCTCATTCCAGAGCCACAGGAGCGGTCACAGGGAGCCCAGGAGGACCAGGCTGACCAGCCACAGGGCTGGGGGCAGCCCCCTGGCTCACACAGCAGCGCCCCCTGCTCACACACGCTGCAGGGGGAGGGAGGCCACACGCCCGTCAGGTGTGGGGAGGCCCCGCCCAGGCTGCCTCCCCCCAGCCCCCAGCCCCCAGCACAGCTATCCTCACCAGCGGCTGCAGTTGTCCAGGAGGAAGGACACCCCCGGCTGCTTCAGCTCCTCGCCCACGAGGCAGGGGCACTCAGAAAGGGGCAGGCAGTGGCCGTCGAGGAGGAGGAGCCCAGGGGGGCAACGGCATCCTGGGGGCATGGGTTGGTGGGGAGAGCACTCAGCTCTGGGAAGGGGCACAGCAGGCAGGGGAGAATGGAGACGGAGGGCTGGTGGGCCTGGGAGGGTGCCCCTTGCTCCATCCGCATGCCAGGTTGGCCTCACCCTCCACACAGAGCCCGCTGCAGCTGCTGTTGGCCTCAGGATCCAGGCAGGTGGGTGGGCACGGGGGCACCAGGCCCTGCTGGCACAGCTCCGCACTCACATGCACATGGCCCAGCCCGCAGTCTGGGAGGAGGCAGGCAGCAGCTGGGGTGGGCACAGGGAGGCCCAGAGACCTGCCCATCGGGCCCACTGCAAGCCAGCCCAGCTCCCCCTACCTGTGCTGCCTGTGCAGGGCTGCAAGTGGCAAGGCACCCTCTGCTGGGAGGTCCCTGGGCAGGGGGCACCGCCATTCTTGGGTGGGGGGTCCACACAGCTCCTCCGGCGACTCCGATGGCCACCCCCACAGGAGACGCTGCAGGGTCCCCAGGCCTCCCACTCAGCCCATGCCCCAGGCACTGTAGGGGAAGGAAGAAAGTGGGTCGCAGGGGGCGACATAGATGGGCAGAGCCAGAGCCCCCCACCCCCACCCCGGCACGAGAGCTGAGGGAAGTGCCCTGGTATCCTCCTCTTCTGTCCCAGGAAACTTCTCATGGGTGGGGAACCTGGGCAAAAGATTTCTAGGTGCCTCCTAGGGATGAAAGCTGGGGCCTCTGGCAAAGGGCAGGGCTTGTGGGAACATGGAGTGGAGCTCCCCCTGGTGGTGGCAAATGAAAGTAGGCCCCAGGGTTAGGAGCTGCATGCTGGGGAGAGACCCCTGCGTGGGATGCCCCTCCCTGAGAAGCACAGGGGAGGGGTGGGGGACCAGCCCCTCAGATTCCTGGAGTGAAAGGGCTATAGGGACTTCAGTGTGGAGTCCAGGGACAAGGCAGAACAGCGCACGGACATCTGGCTCTGACCGATGTCCTCCAGGACACCCTCCGTCTTCCTTCAAGGCCACTCGGGCAGGGCAGAAGGGGCAGGGTCAGGGGTGCAAAGGCACCATGCTCCTCAAGTCCCAGGGTCAGAGACTGGGCCATGGGGACGGGGCGGGGGGTGCTGCCCTGGTGAGGGTCTTAGGTGGGCACTCCACAGGGCTTCCCACATGGGAAGGGCCATGAGGGGGCCCAGGGTTCCAGGCTACCTGGGCAGGCCTGCAGGAAGCAGGACTGGCTGCGGAGTCTCTCCAGCAGGCAGTTGCCCCCAGGCAGGGGAGGCCGCAGCAGATCTCGGCGCTGGAAGGTGAGGCCCAGGCCGCAGCTGTGGCTGCAGCTGCTCCAGCCAGACCAGGGAGCCAGCACGCAGTCCACTGCCAGCGACAGGGGACGCAGAGCTCAGAGCCGACTCAGGCAGGAGCAGGGCCCACAGGGCTGCCACCGCCCCAACCCTCACGTACCACAGCCATCCTCATCTGAGCCATCCTGGCAGTCGGGCTTCAGGTCACATTGCTGCTCAGCAGGCAGGCATTCCCCGCTGCCACAGCTCACTTGCCTTGGGGAGCAGAGGGCTTGGGAAGCCGGCAAGCCAGGCAGGGCCGTGGTGGGCACCGTGAAGGGCAGTGGGCTTGCTGCCCAGGAGGCAGGGGTGGGGACAAGGGAGCAACAGAAGTGACTTCTGGCTGAAAGATAAAACTGAGCCCCTTCAACCTCCAGCCAAGAGTGGAAAAATGCTGGCTGGCCAGGGGTGCTGGCCTCCCCTTCCTCCTGGTGCCACCCACAGCCCATGCCCAAAGCAGACCTGCCACGGTGCACGGCTGAGATCACAGGACCTTTGGTCTGCACAGGCTCTGACACAGGCTCTCTGTTCGACAGAGGCTCGCAGGGTGTCCACGGAGAGAGACCAGAGCATCCACAAGAGCAGTGCATGCCTGTGGGTACCCTGGCCCTGCATGGTACCCCCTGAGCGCCTTCCTGTGACTGGTTAACACTTGGTTTCTCCTCTCCCGATTGGAAGATGGGAGGACGGATAAGTGAGTTGCAGATGGGTGCATGTATGAATAGATGGATGCTTGGATAGTGGGTAGGTGGGTGGATAGGTGGATGTTTGGGTGTTTAGATGGGTGAATGAGTGGATGATGTGTATATGTATGGATGTATGGATGGATAGGTGGATAGATGGATGTATGTTTAGATGGGTGGATGGATGGATGGACAGACAATGGGTGAATGGATTAATGGGCAGGTGAGTTTCCTCAGGTCACACAGAAGACAGAAGACCTGTCCCATCCCCAAAGACACACATACTCATTTTTACCCTTTCAGTTTCTCTCCACTCCCTGCTGCCCCAAGCCCCTGCGAGATCCTTCCCTTATGAGCTAGAAACAGAGGACGGGGCTTCCCCAAACTGAACAGGATGGCACAGACTGACTGTCAGGGAGCCTGCGGGTCCCACACTCACCACAGCGCCTCTCGTCAGAGCCATCGAGGCAATCCTCCGTCCCATCACACAGCTGCTTGGGCTCCACACAGCCCAGGACCTCACAGGGCATCTGGCCAGGGCTGCACCGCACGAGTGGGAAGGGCGCCGGGGTGACGCTCTGGCCTGCGGGCACCATCAGAGCCAGCTGACCAGGGTCCCACCTGCCCCATCCCTCCTGTCATGTCCCAGAGGTCCTCAACCTCCCTGCTCTTGGCATCTAGAGAGCCCCCTCTCTGCCTCGAGGAGTAAATTGGATCAGGAGGCTGGGATCGAGGCTTGGTTCCACCAAAATGGCTTTGAGAAAAGCAGCCAACCCCCCAGGGAAGTCAGGCTCACCCAGGCTTTGGACACTGGCAGGGTACGCAATCTCACCAGCCAGGGTCCCTGGAGGCACCGGGCGTAGGGGGAGCATGGTCACAGCAGCCATTCTGGGTCGCGACTGGGATGTGGGGGCGGTGGTCACGGTTGGCTCAGATTCCCCAGAACCTGGATGAGGAGCCTCGGGGGCTGGGACCGGACTCACTGTCTTCTCTGTGGGTGGAGGAGAGAGGCGGGGGAGGTGTGCACAGCTCACCTTCCTGTGACAGGGAGTGACCCAGGCCCTCAGGGGGACCCCAGGATCCTGCAGGGGTGCAATGACAGCTACCACAGGCCACACCCCACCTTCTGAGAATCCTCAGCCCAAAAAGGGTAGCACCAGGAGGGTTCTAACTGAAGGCAGTGGAAAGCCCAGTTTTGATCTGAGGTTTATACTTAAGTCTCTAAAAGACATAAATGGCAAGGTCACTATAAAAGATGCTTACTGAGAAACAGAAAGATTAACCCCGCCAGAGATTTGCTGTATAATTGAAAAACCTAGTGTTGAGCTTCCTGGCAGCCACAGTGAAAAGGACATTGAAATCTCATTTTCTGGCAATCTCATTTCACCTTCAGAGGCAGCCTTCACGTTCAGAGCCAGAGCAGACTGTCCCGTGGGTCGACCTGCTATGGACCTGAGGATGGCTGCTTTCTCTGCTCCTCACCAAAGACACAGAAACATGGTCCAGCTCCTGAGTCTGGCTCAGGGGTCAGATGCTGCTGGGAACGCCCACATCCCACATCCAAGTGCCTGGACTCCAGTCTGGGTTCACTGCCGATTCCAGCTTCCCACTAACATGCACTGTGGGAGGCAGCGGGTAGTGCTTCAAGTACTTGGGTCCTTGCCACATACATGGAAGACCCGGATTGAGGTCCAGGCTCCTGGCTTGCTACCCTGGTTGTTGCAGGCATCTAGAGAGTGAAGCCACAGGTGGGAGATTTCTCCTGCCCGCTCCTACCTCCCCACTGACCTCTTTCAAATAAAATGAAAATAAATCAATTGAAATAAAAACAGTTGTTCAGCCAAGCTTCTGAACAACTTCCATTCAAACCCACAGGGAAGGCAGGTACAGGGTGCCTAGGACACTCCCTTGTCTCATGGATGGGGAAACTGAAGCCAGACACGTGTTGTGGGGCTGCCCAATGTCTCCCACAGCCCATGCCTCACTCTCCTCCCTGGCTGCCTTTCCCTGGGTTGCGGCACAGGTGAATAACAGGTAGTCTGGGGAGGCTGGCACATGGCCAGGTAGGGGACACCTTCCTTGTCCTGGTTGGGGACAGGCTAACTTGGTGATCTTGCCCACACCCATGCCCACTTGGAGACTCTGTGCCAGTAAGCACTTCAGAAAGGGGGACCCGGCCGGGTGAGTGGGCGAGCAGAGGGAGTCCATGCTAGGGGCCAGCCGCAGGAGCCTCCCTGTCACACCCTGGAATCCAGGAAGGTGCACACGGCAGGACCTAGCTGCGGCCAAGGTGCTCCGTGTTGGAAGCCTCTGAGAGATAACTACCGTTTGCTCTGGAAGGCTGTAAGAGGAGACCTGGAGTTTGTGCAGATACCTGTAGGAGGCATGAGTGACCCCTGCTGGGCAGGCCAGAGTCCAGTCTCTGCCAGTCTCTGCGGAGGGAGGGAGAGGGCTCAGGCACCCGGTGCACTGCAGGCCCATCCAGCACCACCCTCTCATTCCCACGGCGGATGCAGCTCAGTCACCCACAGTCCCACTGTGCCCCCTCCCCATTTTCTCTGTGTCTCCTCCGTGGCCCAGGGCAGCGCTGAGGATGGAGCTGATTCTCCTGCAAGTGAGGTGGGTTCTCATCTCTGCACTGGGCCCCCTCAGGGCCTGCCTACCACCCTCACGGGTTCTGGGGCACTAGTGTCACTGGCTCATCAGTGTAATCCACATTAGCTCTTGTTTCCCAGACATCTCTGTCCAAACACACACATACACACACACACACTCTGATCCTTTGTGGGAAAGGCCCTGCCCCCTCTTCTCCCTGGGACACCTCCCCCAACCTCTGGCATCCCCAGGCACAGTTCTTGTCCCAGTCTGAGAGCAGGTGCCCTGGAGCTGGCCTCTCTGGCCCCTAGGGCAGTGCTCTGCCCCACGCATCCCTGCACTTCTGTCCACCCCTCCACCCCTGCCCGCCACCCAGCTCTGGCTAGCCTGAGGCTCCCAGGCCTGACACAGAGCAGCACCAGGGAATACAGAGGGAGGAGACACCACTGAGGTTGGAGAAGACGACAGGGCAGGGCCAGGCCCTGAGAGCCAATGAGGTCCAGGCTGTGCCCTGGTGCCGGCCCCACAGCTTCCCACTCACCTCCCCGGGCTGGGGGTGTGACAGCTGTCCTGACTGCATGGAGAGGGCTGGGGTCTTGGCTGTGGAATGGACTCTGGGAAGACAAACCACCAGAGGGGCTCTCGCAGCCTCAGAGACACCCCCTACCCAATCGGGAGGTTGGGGGTCTCTGGGCCAGGGTGGAGCATTCAGGCAAGGCACAAAGCACAAAGGCAGGGCTCCCAACAGTGGCTCTTTACTCAAGCTCGTGTTAGAATCAGCAGGGGGGTTGCAAAACACATCCATGGGTTCCATCCTGCAGGGCTGTGTGGGGCCTAAGAACCTGCATTTCCAACCAGTTCCAGGTGATGGCTGCGGCTGCTGGTGCAGCAGCCATATTGAGACCACTGATGCCCAGGCAGCACAGGGCACCTCCCCCTGCTGGGTCCACGTCTAGGCAGGGTGCAACTGGGCAGGGGCCACACCATACCTGCCAGTGCCTGCAGGCAGAGGCCAGCAGCCTTCCTCATCAGAGCTGTCTGTGCAGTCTGCAACACCATCGCACACACCTCCCGTTGGGACACACTCACCATTCTCACAGCGGTGCCTGGCGCCTGGGCATGGGGACACTGGCGGGGACACTGCAGGGGTGGGGGTGGGGGTGGGGTGTTGCTGAAGGCTCCTGTTATCCCACTCCCGCTCCCTCCTCTGCAGCCCAGCCTGTACCTGTCTCACAGCCCAGCAGCTCAGCCCGCAGGAAGACGCTGTGCTGAACGTTGTTGCGGGGGACATCACCGGGCCACACGCGGATGTACCTCGCCTGCACCATCTGGCCAAATGTCCACACCTCGGGGGCCTCGCCACCCTGACTTCCAGGGACAAGCTGCAGCAGAGAGCACCTGCTGACCATGGCTCTGCTGGAGGCCCCTTCTCTCTGCCCTGTCCACGTCCCACAGCCTTCAAGGCAGGGTTCCATGAGTCTTCCTGCAGTTGCCACGTGGGTCCTGGCTGAAGCTCCTTCCACTGAGCAAGCAGGGCTCTAAGAGCAGAGGCCAGGGGGTGCTCACTGCTGTGGCACCACAGCTCGGCCTGGCACCTGGCACAGAGCAGGTGCTCCTGACAGTGAGGGTGACCAAGCACTTCACAGGCTTTGTCTCCCCAGGGAGGATGCACACCAGGAGGGCAGGGCATGGCCCAGGCTGCTCCACGGGGACCCAAGTGGGTCTGCACTCCCTGGAGTTGTCAGTGAATTTGACAGCTCCCTTCTACCCCCAGCTGTAGAATTTTGCATGCCTGCCCTGAGCCACTTCAGTGGTTTCTCAAGTCCACTTAACAGCGGCCCCGGGGTCCTCTGCTCCACAGAGCACAGTCCCTGCTACTTACAGGTGTCCGACAAGCAACAGGTGTAGGGCCTGCTCCTTGGGGAGACTGAAAGGAGCTTGGGGACAATGACAAAGTGGCATGGTGGGTTACTGGCACAAGGGCCCATGGGTGGTACCTTGGGTGGAGGCAGGGTGCCCGGCATGATGTCATGATAGTCATGCCAGTGCAGACCATCACTGCTGAACTGGAGGGAGAAGCTGGTGGCGTAAGCACTGGAGGGACGAGCGCCCTGCACGATGATGCCTGGGGAGAGGCCAGGGCCAGGGCAAGGACCAGAGCTGAGGGAGGCACCCCTGCCCCACCTCACCCCAGCCCCCATCACTGTCCTTTCACACCTCCTCTGTCCACCTCAGACTCCCTGCTCACCAGTTAGGTTTCGGGGCTGCAGCAGGTCCAGCTGCAGGTAGTGCTCTCCCGGGCTCCATGCCTGAGGGCGGGGAACCTTGGTGGGAGCCACCAGGAGGTGCTCCAGCTTCTGGGGCAATGCGTGTAGACCCTCCTCGGGCAGCTGGGGCAGGTGCAGGGGAGCGTAGCAGGGGTCTGGACACAGAAAGGACAGAGGCTGGGGATGGGAGGACGGAGCTGGGGAGGGGAGGACGGAGCTGGGGAGGAGAGGACGGAGCTGGGCAGGGAGAACTGAGCTGGGGAGGGGAGGACGGAGCTAGGGAGGGAGGACGGAGCTGGGCAGGGGAGGACGGAGCTGGGGAGGGGAGGACAGAGCTGGGCAGGGGAGGACGGAGCTGGGGAGGAGAGGACGGAGCTGGGGAGGGGAGGACGGAGCTGGGGAGGGGGAGGACGGAGCTGGGCAGGGAGGACGGAGCTGGGGAGGGGAGGACGGAGCTGGGGAGGGGAGGACGGAGCTGGGGAGGAAGGACAGGGGCTGGCAGGGGCTGTCCCGCATGTTAGGAAGCCAAGTAGAGCCAGCAAATCTGAAAGGCTCAGCCAGCTGAGCTTAGCCCAGGACCAGAGGTTGGTCCTAAGATGGCAGAATCAGGGGAGGCCACTTCAGATGGGGTGACTCCCACACTCTTAGGATGTCCTCCACTGCATGGGATGCCAGGGGTCCTGGGCCCCCTTCCAGGTTGGGCAACATGTCCCCTCTCGACACCCATCCTGAAGGCACGCAGCTCTTACCACCCAGTGAAGGCAGGATGTAGGTGGTCAGACGGGGTCCAATCTGGGGACTGGGCTCTGCAGCTTGGGCAGGAGTGGCCACTGGAGACACTGTGTGGTTTTCTCCTGTTGACAACACTCAAGGGTCAGGAGGCAGAGCCCAAGAGAGGCTCACACCAGTCCTCAGCCCAACACTCCAGGCTTCTCCCTGCTTTCTTGTTCCCTGCTTCCCGGGAACAACCTCCTAACTGGAAAAGCCCTACCTCCTCTCCTTGATGTGAATTGTAGGTTGTCACCTCTACTGAATAGAGAATGTGGAACAAAATTGCCAATCTTAAGCCATTTTTGGACCAAGACAGCCAGGCTGCTGTCATAAATGGGGCATATTTGTGTGTTTCTATTCAGGTCCAGTTTTGCAGGCTAGAGTCCAGTTACTCCTCGCCAGCTAACCTGTGCAGTGAACAACCTGTACAACTGTCCATGCCAACTCCATCCTAACCTCAGCAACCTGTGGGTGCACTTTTAGGATAAGGAAGTTGGACCCATAAGTTACACCCATTTTTGAACCTTCGCTCCTTTCCTATTTCATTTGCAACTCATTTCCAAGTAAAGATGCTCTTGAAAAAGCATCTTAGCAAGATAAAGCCCACCTGTATCTTGGCTGCTCTGCAGGAGACAGGGAAGCAAGCATGCCTGGCCTGGAGAGAGGGGGGCACCCTCAAGGGTGGAGAAGCAGAATGCCCCAATGGGACAGGGGAGGCAAGGAGAGAGAGAGAGAGAGCGCACAGGGACAAGCCCCAGAGGGCTCATTCCCTCTCCAGGGTCTAGCACCAGGTTTCCCATCATCCTGAGGCTGGGTGTCTGGCTGGCCCCCTGACCCCCTGCTCCATGCCACCATCCTCGGCTCTCTCCAAGAACCCCTGCCACATTCCCCTGCCCTTAGGGCTGCCCTGCCACACCCCAGACCCACTCACCAGGCAGGGCACAGTGACAACACGCTTCTCCCACGCCTTCCACTAGGACCCAGCCCTGCAGGGCATGGAAGTCAGGCACCTGTCCACCTCCTCCGAGCCCAGCCTCTGCCCACCCCACTCCCAGACACCTCACCTCGGGGCAGCTGCCCAGTGGGCAGTAGGGGGAGCAGTGTGCAGTGTGGTTGTGTAGACACTGGCACACAAGGCAGGGGCCCCCACGCCAGCGCTCCCCAACACGGTGGGCCTGGCCCCTCTGCTCACAGCCCTCACACGGCTCCGTCTGGCACCTAGGGAGGGAGGGTTGGCACTGGCCTGTGAGGGGGCCCCAGGGTGACCAATCCTCTGGTTTACTGGGACTATGTATGGAGATTCCTGGGACTCAGGACGAGTGGGGATATCTGGTCACCCTATCCCCCACCCAACCCCTGCACCTGAAAACTGCAAGTGGCCTACAAAAGGAGGGAGACAATTTGTGCCAGCCCAGTGGGGACCCTGTGAGCCTCAGCCAGGCACCTCCAGAGGCCCAAGGTCCCACTCCTGCGCTGGATTTATCAAGCAGCATTTGTAGACTTTGTCTACCCTGCTTTTGGATCTAAGGGGAAGAAAACTGAAATAAGAGAGGACTGGGGATCCCCAAAGATGCTGGGAGTACTGGGGTTTAGACATGGGGGTCCACAGGGCCGGGGTCCTAACTGGGAGTCTGTGATGGATGCAGAGTTGCTGGCATGTGAAGGGCCACACAGGAAGCTGCCTGAGGAGGAGGTGGGGGTGAAGATGGGTCCCTGGGGTGGGGCACAGCACCTGCGGGCCTTGCGGTGGATGCCACGGCATTGGTGACCTTGGCCCACGAGGCGGGGGTTGTTGGGACTCCGGAAGGACCATTGGATGCTCTGGCTCCCACAAGGGCCCAGGCACTCGGCCCAGGGGGACCAAGATGACCAGCCACAGCTCACTAGGGGTGCAGGGCAAGAGTCAGGCCAGGAAGAGGGCCTGGGTGGCCCAGGGATGGGACAGGGAGCCCAAGGAAGGCAAAGCAAGGCCCCACCTGCACAGTCTGGGTTGGGCCGGCAGCGTCGCGGCCTCCCATCTTGGCAGACACAGAGTCGGCAGTTGGTCTTGATGTGCTGCCCCGGCCAGTAGCGGGCACCATCCACCAGGCAGGGACACTGCCGAGGCCACACACACCGCCCCTCACTGCCCAGCACCTGCCCTTCTGGGCACCAGCAGCCTAGGAAGGCCCAGGGTGAGGCTTCCATTCACAGATACAGAGCCTGACCCTGGGCCTAGAGTTCCCGTACCTGGGCTGCTGCAGGAATGGTCAGGTGGGCACCTGGCCTGGACAGAGATGTCATCACAGGTCAGAGGGCAGGGGGCACAGGGCCAGAACACTAGCTCCCCCAAGCAGGTGGCATTGGGGCAGCCGTCCTGGGAGCAGGGCTCTGAGATGAAGCAGAGGTCAGAGGTCAGGGCGGGTGGGCCTGCAGCAGAGGCAAACCTCCCCCCTGCAGCAGGGCCCACCTGTGCCCCACCTGAGGCCCTCCTCCCTTCTACTCACTAGTTTGGCGGGTGCTGTGAGGGCCTCCAGGCAGCAAGGCACAGGCCTGGCCTCCATTCTGGGGCGGGTGGCACTGGCGCTGCCGTGTCACAGTCCCTTGGCATGGGTCAGAGCACACAGACCAGGGTGACCAGGAGCTCCACTCACCGTCCACTGGGAAGGGGAAGGGCAGGAAGCTTCGAGGCGGGCCCAGTGGCCTTCCTCACACCTCCACTGCACCGGCCCCACTGCCCTCTGCCCCTCCCTCATGGCCCAGGCCACTCACCTGGGCAGGCCACAGTGAAGCAGGCCTGAGACTGGTGCTCGGGGCCTGGGCAGTACTGCAGCACTGGAACACTGGGTGGGGAGCAGCGGCGGCTCCGGCCCTGCACCCCAGGCCCGCAGGTCTGGCTGCACGGGCTCCACGGGCTCCAGGGGCTCCAGGCCCCGCAACCCTGTTCTTCTGGGGAGGGCCCTGCCTCCCCTGCCAACGTGCAGTCGGGCTGCCCATCACACACCTGGGGAGCAGGGTGAGGGTCGCTCAGGGCTCCCGCTATACTGGGGCGGGGGGCACAATGTCTCTGCCTTCTCCACCCCGTTCCCCAATCTCACCAGCTGGAAACCAATGCAGACGCCATTTGGGCAAGTGTATTCTGGGCAGGGGTCCCCTGTCCTGTTGGGGCCTCCTGGGGCTGGCAGCCTCTCTGGGGAAGAAGAGCGAAAACAGTCATGGGGGGGAGGGCTCTCTTCCTGGCCCACACAACCATACCCCCCCACCCCCATCGTGGGAACAAAGTGTCCGTACCACAGCCCAGCTCGTCGTCACCCTGGGGACAGTCAGGGCTCCCGTCACAGAGCTGCTCTGGCTTCAGGCATAGCCAGGGAGCCAAGCCGCAGGGGAAGAGGCCGGGGCAGGGCGGCAGCTGGGTGGAGCCTGTGGATACCACTGGACTTGGCCTGTTGCCCCTCCTGGCCCCTTGGGGAAGAGGAGCTGGCACTGGGAAGGGGCAGGTAGGAGCAGAGCCAACAGGGGGCAGTATCAGGCTCACAGGACGCTGAAGGAGGGGCAGGCAGGCCTGGGGAGGGGTGGCCAGCACCTGTAGGACTGATTTGCAGGGGACACGGAGTGCTCCACTCAGGTGTGGCGGGGAGAAGCTTGGGACAGAGAAGCCCTCCACAGAGACCCACTCCATTTTGACCCTTCTTGCCTAGCTGTGGGCCAAGACTAAATTCTCTCCCCAGGGCTGGGTGAGGGGGCAGAAAAGTTTTAAATAGAATGTTTCTTGCAAAAGAGCAGAGGAGTGAGGAAAGCGGCACGGATTATTCAGATGCCCCCGCACCTCCATCATTCTCTAGCTGCGCCCCCTGGGGGCGGCAGGGGGCGTTGGCGGGGGACCGTGCGCAAGCGGGGAGAGGCGCGCGCAGGGCGCTCACCGCAGGCGTCGGGAGCCTCGTCGGAGCCGTCGGGGCACTGCCGCACGCCGTCGCAGAACTGCCCCGGGGCCACGCAGTGCGGGCCGCTGGCGCAGGGCACGTGGTGCGGCTCACAGGGCCGGCCGCAGCCGCGCTCGTCACTGCCGTCGGTGCAGTCCTCCTCGGCGTCGCAGCGCCAGCCCCGCGGTGTGCACTCGCCGCTGCCGCACAGGAACTCCCAGGGGCCGCAGGGAGGCGCTGCGGCGGGCACCCGGTGACACCCTGGGCGACGCACAACCGGCTCCACCGCCCTGGGCGTGTCTCACGATGCGATCGCAGCCGCAGGCCCTTCCGCGCTGCAGGCCCGCCCTGGCCCCCGCCCCTTACTCCACCTCCAGCCCCTCCCCGAGGTCAGACCCCTCCTGCATTTTGCTGCCTCCTTGGCCCAGGAACTTCCACTACACTCCCTTTTCGCTCAGGGAGGCCTTAACGGCTTGGAAGTAAGGGCTGGGCTCCTTCAATCCCCCTAAGAAGCCCTCTCCTCCCTTCCAGGTCTGGAAGTCTGCCGGCTGCGTCTCACCGCAGAGCGCCGCAGCCAAAGCCCTCTCCCACCCTCCCTCTCTTGGCCAGACCCAGCCAACCTTCTCACACCAGTCCCCGCTGGAGACTCACCAGCGCCGCTGCTGGCGGAGGAATTTGGTGCAGTGTCCACAGAGCCAGTGGATGGGCCAGGCAAGGTGCCAGCGGGGGGCACCGGCAGAGAGGGCAGGGGGCAATGCCCAGGCCCCTCATCCGCGCCATCAGGGCAGTCCCAGGCTCCGTCACAGAGCTGGAAGGCCCGCACACAGGTACCATCAGCACAGAACACCTCCCCAGGCACGCAGTCCACCTGCCCTGCAACCAGAAGGGAGGAGCTGTTCCAACAACCACTGTCCTGACTCTCAGTGCTGGGAACACATAGGGGGAACCTGGCCAAACAAGGATGGACTCATGTGGAGTTGGGCCGTGTGTGTGTATGTGTGTGTGAGGGGTGCCTGGTGGGCAGGAGTGCAGGGTGGGGCAACTCACCCAGACAGGATTCTTCATCAGCAGCATCTGGGCAGTCAGGGTGCCCATCGCACAGCAGGGCGGGGGGCAGGCAGTGCCCATCAGCACAGGCCAATGAGTCTGGTGGGCACGGGCAGCCTTGCTCATCCATGCCATCTCCACAATCATCCTGCCCATCACAGAGCAGGGCCAGGGGCAGGCAGTGGCCAGAGCTGCAGGACATCTGCCCCTCACCACAGCCTGGGGTGGCACAGCCTGGCATAGGGCAAGTGAACAGGCTCAAGACACTGTTGAAAGATCCTAGAGAAGCCCCAGCCCCAGCAGGAGCAAACACCCTACCCACACCTCAGCCCTTACAAGTCGTAGCTCCGGCAGTGGGAACAGTGGGGCAGCAGGGGGAAGCCACTCTGGGGGCACCTGCTGCAGCCCTAGTAAACCCAGTTTCCCGTCCCTGTCATTGCCACACACAGGCGAGGACACTCACCATCCTCGTCTGAACCATCGCCACAGTCATCCTGGTTGTCACAAAGCCACTCATGGGGCACACAGTGCCCGCTCTCCCGGCATGGGGCCTCTCCCTCTGCACAGCCAGGCACCAGCTCCTCACAGTGGGTACCATCACTGCCACAGTGCCACTGGCTTTCCTGGCACGTACTGAGCACACAGAGCCCCGGGATCAGCACCGGCAAGGCTCCTCTAAGCACCCCCTAGCCCACCTCACTCACCAGTTCCCGCAGTCCTTCTGCAGCACAGTCCCTGGCGGGAAGGAGCTGCCACCCCACTCACAGGGGCAGGCAGCCGGCTCCACGCAGCTTCCTCCTGAGAGCACAGACAGCAGGGCTCCGGGAGAAAGTGGCACAGTGCTCCTGGCCCTGCCCTGCCCCCCATGGCCTCGTGGCCCTTTCCCAGTCCCAGTGCCCCCTCCCCTCCGCCCGTTCTGCCTCTACACACCATGCAGCAGGGTCCCCTCAGGGCAGAAGCAGCCTTCCACGCAGGCAACTGCCCGGCAGTGCCACTCAGGCACAGACTGGTGGTCATGGCAGGTTGGGGGACATGTGGGCCCACAGGCCTCATACACCTGTCCGCCTTCACACTGCAGGGCTGGGTAGAGAGGAGAGAGGCTTGGTTCGCCAAGCTGCAAAGGTACTAGTTTGCAATGGTACTGGATGAGCTAGCCGAATGTGACACCCATGGAGTACACAGGACACATGGAGACTTCCCTCAGGCACTTTGGAACATGTCGGCTCTGTGTGGCAGCCATTGGTATCTACTTTGTTCATCTAGAAAAGCACCTGGCCCACAGTGAGCACTCAAGCCATGTTTGCCCTTGAGCACCTGAAATGCTGGCTGGCTGAGCGTGGGGCGGGTGGGAGGGCAGGTACACTCACGGCATAGCTCCTGGCTGCGCCAGCGCACATGGTGGCCGTGCCGGGCACACTCGTCTGCGTAGGTGGCGATGGCAGAGCAGAGGCACTCACAGTCACCTCCCGAATCGCAGCTGTGGGAGGGAGCACTCAGCTCAGCACCCTCAGAACCTGGTCCCCCCAACCTTCACCCCTCAGCAGGCCGGCCGCTCCTCACCCGCAGGCATCGTAAACACACCACTCGTAGTGCTGCTGTGGGGCCACTGTGGAGTGGCACTGGGCAAAAAGTGGCTGCAGCATCACCCCGCAGCGGGCCCGAGCCCAGCCGGCCCGGTGGGCGTTCACCTGTAGGCACAGATGCACTTGTATACAGCGCCTGGCCAGCCGGAAGCCCTCCTTGGACCCAGGCTCCGGAACCCCCACCTCCCTTCTCCCTTTCCTGCTGGGCTCACAGTGCAGGGGTGCGGCAGGTCTCCTGGCTCAGGACAGAGGGGACTGAGGCGCCAGGAGTGGGCAGCTAGCTCAGCTGTGGGCTCCAGGACTCCCTGGCGGCTCCGCAGGTCATTACTGGCATCTCCGTCAAAGTCTCCACACAACCCAGCCACTCGGCCACGGAACTGGGGAGAGAGCTGCACCAGGACCCGGGTGCCTGGCAGCAGCATCATGGACAAATGACCCTGGGGCCCTCACCAGGGCCTCGGTGGGGAGACAAGACCCAAGGTGTGTGGGTACCCTCCTGCATGGTCATGGTCCCCACCCCCACCAACAGGAGGTGCTGGTGCCTTCTTTCTTGGGGGAGTGATTGATGGTGATACATAAACAGACCTACATTTGGGGTGGGGGTGGGGGTGGGGGTGAGAAGTAGCAGTGCCATTTTCTTTTTCTAATTGGAGCCAGGCTGGGGAGTAAGTAGGAATATTCTCCATCTGGCCAGATTCTGGATGAAGAACTGGGCTCCAGGATGGACAGTGAGATCTCCCACTGCCGCAGCTCTCAGTGACTGCAAGCTTGGGGACAGCACCACTGTGCTGAGCCAAGTCCGTAGGAGGGTTATTTGGGCTTCCCTCAGTTTCCCAGTCACAGTTCTATTTCTAAACCGCCAACTGCCTGTGTCTGGGTGATGGGATGTTATGAGATTTATTTGCATTTCCTCTCTAAAACTTAGTGTTTTCTAAATGTTGCTTTGCTGAAGTGATATTGCTTTCAGGATAAAGAACAATAGAATTATGCAAACATCATTTGGAAACTGACCCGCTTGGTCTGAGAGTTAGGGGCGGCAGCTGGGCTGGGGGAATGGAGCAGAGGCTAGGAGAGGGGTGGTCAGTCTGGGAATCTGCCCTGGGTGGGCGAGGGGTGCTCAGCCTTGACTTTGGAGCTACGTGGGTCAGGAAGAGGGACCATCAGGCAGTGGGAGGGAGGGTTTGGCAGAGTCCAGCCCCTTGGTGCTAAGACCGAGTGCAGATCAAGTGGGCAGGGAGCTGACCTCCATCCCAGAGCAGGGTGAGGCCCAGGCGGGTTGTCAGCAGCAGGAAGAGGCCAGCTTGGCGCAGGCTCAGCCCAGGGCCTGTGTAGACCTTGGGGGGTGTAATGCTCACCCCATTCACCATCACCGCCCGGCCTGTGGAGGAACAGACACATTCAGGCCCAGCCTGGCGTAAATGGCCTTGCCATGCATGCTTCTTGTGTTCTCTACCTACATGTCCCTGGCAAGGCATTCAACTCCTCTGTGTCTTGAATTCAGGTACTCTCCCAGAGCTACAGGTCCCAACCATGAGGAGAAGCACCAGGCCCAGGGAGGTGGCTGTGAGGGGATTACAGGGAGCCCTGGGGAGCTGTGATGCCAGGCTAGTGCACCCCACCTCTCCACAGGCAGTGCACCCACCTCTGAGCAGGTGCACGACAGTGGTCTCCAGATGCACAGCCAGTGCCTTGGTGCAGGTGAGGCCACTGGCCCCGCAGGGAAGGTTCTGGGCAGAGACACTGAAGTGGCCGCTGGCCTCTCGCACCAGCAGGTACTCACAGGCCCCAGGGAAGGTGAGGGCCAGTCCATCAAAGGTCACATAGTGGGGGGCGCCGGATGCCTGGCACCAACCACTGCACTGATGCTTTGTGCAGTGCCACTGCCGGTCCAGGCACACACTGCAGACAGGGTTGGGGGTGGGATACAGAGTCACTGAGGGGGCCCTGGCAGCTGTGCATGGGGCATGCAGCTGGCCTGGGTTCCAAAGAACACCAGTGGGGCCTTCAGTTGTGGAGGGAGCTTGGAGGGTTCCCATCATCCATGCCAGCCTGGACTTCCTATCCCACCTGCCACCACCACCCTCTTCTAGTGGAGGGAGCTTGGGGTCATGGAGTCAAAGAGTTCCAGGTCCTGGGGGCTGGACATACCAAACATTGCAGTCTTCCTGGATGGTGGCATTGGGTGGGTACCACCGCCCACTGTGACGGCAGGGACAGAGGTCAGGAGGCACACAGCGTTCCTCCTGGGCAGAGGGCAGGGACAAGGGGCACTGCAGAGAGCTGCCTAATGGCTCTGCCTACCCTTTGGGGCAGCTAGGGGGAACAGACAGTACCCTGGCTTTGGGAAGACCACCCCACTGCCCCATGTAGCCCCTTCCCAGCCTCACCAGCAGCACGGTGCCTGGGGGACAGACACAGCTGTCAGTGCCACCTGTGGGGCAGGAGAGGTTGGCGCTGGGGCTGTCGCAGGTGAGGAGGCAGGCACCAGGGGCGTAGACAAGCTCCCGGGGGCAGAATGTCTGCTGTGGGGGGCAGCGGTGAGCTGTGCAGTTCCAGAGACCCCTGTCCTGGCAGACACTGCCAGCGGATGGGAGGAAGGGAGTAAGAGCCATGCCCCGATCTGACCTGGTGAGAGTCTCAGGGCCCCGACACTGGGCACCCAGGTGTCTGTATCCTCCAATGTTGAGGGCAAAGTCCTGACACCAGAGACCTGAGCAGCTCACCTCCCAAAAGCCAAATGACCATGCTGGGGACAAACACTGGCGCCCCTGCTTCCCCAGCTGGGCCAGTCTCTGGGCCAAAACATTGAGCCCTATCTCTCAGCCTGGGTAGGAGACAGGTTCCACCAGAGCCTCACCCTCACCCACCAAGCCTTGGATACTGGCCCCAAACCCGCTTTTCTTTCTCATTAACAAGCTGTCAAACCCATCTGAGCCTGTTTTCTGATCTGCAAAGTGGGATCAATCCTTCCGCTTCCTACTTCACTAGATTATTCTGAGAAAGTATACATGAAAGAGCTTTCTGGACCCTAGTGCCCCAGCCCCCACCCCGTCCCAGACACAGCCCAGCCCACTCTCTCAGAAGCTCCTCTGTGTCACACTAGGTGCTGCCTTTGCCTCAGAGGCTGCCACCCTCACCAGTGGTTGCAGTCCTTTGTGATGGCACTGCCAGGTGCATAGCGGCGGGCTCCAAGCTGGCAGGAGCAAAGGCTGGGGGGCACACACTGGCCCTCGGGGTCCCACAGCAGCCCTGGGGGGCAGTTACAACCAGCCACACAGCCACCCAGCTCCCCGCAGTCTTCTGGCTGTCCACAGTGCAGACCACACACCGGAGCACACTCCTGGTACTCCTGGCCTCCAGGACACAGCACAGCTGGGCACAGGGATACATGCGGGTCAGGGGCACAGCCAATGCCAGCTCTGACTACACCTCCTGTGCCTCCCCCAGGGGAATAATAAGTCCAGCAAAACCCTCAAGTTCAGAGGTTCTCCCCAGCTACTCCTAAAAGGAGGCTGGGAAACGAGCTGGGTCTGGCTGGGCCCAGGGACTCACGGCAGAGGGTTTCATTCCTCCAGAGAGGCGGGGCCCCCTCCTGGGCACAGCGGCGCGCATAGGCAGAAAGCACTGGGCACAGGCAGTCCCTGCCGGCGGCACAGCCACACACGGCTGCCAGGCAGCGCAGCCGGAATGGCTCCCTGTCCACCAGCCCGTGGCACTCCTGGGAGGGAGACAGGAAGTGGGTCAGCTCCTCCCCCACGGATAGCCCCATCCCCTCAAGTCCCCACTGTGCCCTCCCTTTCAGCAGCTCTGTGGTTAAGGCCGTCTGTCTCCCTTAATCCTCCCCAAAGCCCAGAAGGAGGGTAGAGCAGGTGTTTTCCCATCTTACAGGAGAGGAAGGAGCCCAAGCTGGCTACCTGGAAGGTTGAGCCTTGCAGGATGGCACAGGCTGCCTCTGCAAAAGTGTGGTGCTGGGAGTGGATGCTGCAAGGAGAGAGGGGGGCATTGTCCCCTGGGGGGCAGCTTTCCTTGCCCAGCACCTGGAACTTGCTAGTGAAGGCAGCAACGCTGGTCTCCACGTCCCCTGCCGGTGTCAGGAAGTCATCCCACTGGTTCCAGGTGAAGGTGCCACACAAGCCCTGCACCTGGGCCACAGGAGTGCACAGGGGACAGTCACATCCAGTCCCACTGTGGCCTGGCCCATCCATTCACCCACCACCCTGGCACACCTGATGGGCAAGCCGAGGGTCCAAGGTGATGTAGGCTGCCGGGTCAGATAGCCCCCAGAGGAGTCGGGCCCCTGGCCAGCGCAGCATCAGGAAGGTAGAGGAGGCATGGAAGATGCTGAGCCCTCTAGCACCAGTCCAGGGCAAGCGCACATCCTCACCATCAACCAGGACAGCTCCTGGAACAAGGAGCCTGATGAGGGCAGTTGGGGCAGCAGGTGTGAGTAGGGGGCTGCAAGGAGGGAAGGACCTTGGGGGGAAGTGGGAGGGCCGGTGTCAGGGCCTCAAATAGAATGACCTCTGGACGTCACCTGTCCTACTTGAGCCCCCCCCCCCCCCTTCCTCCAGCATCCATTTTTGCCTGTCCCTTTCTCTTTGAGGTCAGCATGTGAGAAAGCCATGAATAAACAGAGATGCAGAGAGAAAGGGGGAGGGGGAGGTATGGAGCACAGTGCTGAGAGGGCCTGCCAGGCCTAGTCACACCACCAGGCCTCCCGGACTCTCCTCACCGTATGGCTTTCTTTTCCCCCCAAAGACAGGTCAGAAGATGCCTTAGAAAATTTTCCCAGGACAGTGTCTGCTTCAGATCTGGAAGACTGGCGGAAGTTGAGGCAGGGGACAGTCTTGGCCTCCAAGTGGTGGGAGGAGAGAGGACAAAGGCCTGGTGAGTGGCCTGAGGAGGCGGAGCTGAGGTTACCTGAGTCCCTGAGCTGGACATGGGTATCTCCCAGAGAGACAGAGAGGGCGTGGAGGCAGCTGCCAGAGTCGCAGGCCCCGTGCTCCAGCGTGATCCGCAGCTGCCCCTTCGTGTAGTCCTGGGGGGCGGGGGCAGAGCCTCAGGTTCTCTGGGTAGGCCTCTGTGAACCTTCTCTACAGAATACCTTCAGTACAGCCGGGGGTAGGTGAGGCCCGGCCCTGGCCAAGGGCTGGGGTGTGTGTGTGTGTGTTTGTGTGCATGTATATACATGTGCATCCTTGGCTGTGTGTGCTGTGTCAGGAGGGTGGCCACCAGTCACCTGAGGACACCATGCTGCTTGTAAAGCAGCGGGAATGACCCAGTAGTTAGGTGGAGAGATGACTGATGAGACTCCAATGGGCTGAACAGAACAGGGCCTGCACCTGAGCCCGGGAAGTGACCTGACTTTTTTGGGAGTGGGCTGGAGTGGGAAGGAGCACTTCACATTCCCTGTGGCTGTCTTGCCTGAAGTGGCCCGTGATGAACCCAGCCTGTCCCATGTGTGAGAGGGGACTATGGGGACAGTTTGCTTTTGAGGCCCTGGGCTGGGGTAGTGAGGACAGGGAGACTCTCCTGGGGCGCCTAAGGAGCAGGTGGGAAACCGAATGTAGGCCCTGGGACTGCAGAGCCATCTCCCCACAACAGTGGGTCTCACTCAGCTTTTCCTTGCATGGCTGTGAGCTTTGTTGATTTCTTTAATGCTTTCCTTGCAGTCACCAGGATACCCCCTAGGCAGGCCCCAGCTCTAGCAAGACCCCCCTACCCCTTCCGGGAGCTTGTCCTCTGCCCACCTGCACCAAGTTGTAGCGGCAACCCTGGCTGCCTCGGAAGGAGAAGCTCCGCCCATCAAACGTGAGGTAGTGGCCGTCCCCGCCCACTGCACACTCAGCAGGGCACCGGGCCTGGGCACAGTGCCAGAGGCCATCCCGGCACACGCTGTGGGCACAGAGTCATGTGGCATCAGCTGAGCTGGAGAGGACTTCCTTCCCCAGCATCCCAGTACCTTTTCTCCCCCCACCATTCCTAGAAGGGGTAGAGGGCATTAGCCAGGTGTCAGCAGGACCACCCATCATGCCGGGAGAGGTGGCAGATCTGTGCGGGAGGCCCGGGAGCAGGCTCGCTATTTGGGGGAGGCAGGCTGCAGATACAGCATAAAAGTGGGAATCAGAGAGAACCACACAGCCACCACCCTCAGCAAGGCCTGGAGACCCACCATGGGTTACACAGCTGGTGCACAGTGTCACCAGGGGCATAGCGCTGGCGCCGGTGGTAGCAGGGGCATCGGGCAACGGGCACACAGAGGGCGCCATCCCAGAAGAGGCCGACCGGGCACTCACAGCCGCTCACACACTCTTCTCGGCAGGACGGCTCCTCGGCCTCACCCACTGCTGAGCAGCTGCGTGGGCAGGAGGAGACGCAGTCCGAGTAGAGCTGGCCCCCAGGGCACAGGCGCTCTGTGGGCACAGAAGAGGGGCTGTAGTCCTCTGCCAGACCTGGCCCCGAGGAGGTGGGAGGCCCTGGGAGGTGGCAGAGGAAGGCCATTGGTCAGTTCTGCAGGGCAGGAGGCCCAGTCAGTACCACAGAAGCCAGGCTTCCGCCAGTGCACGTGGACACGCTGCTTGGCACAGGTCTGGGCGTAGATGGTGAAGGTGGTGCACACGGTCTGCCGTAGCTCCTCCCAACTGCTGCCTGCCATGGCCCCTGCACAGTAGGCAACGAGGCAGGCCTCGTGGTATTCATCTGGGGGAACCTGCCAAGAATGGACAGCCCCTCAGCCCATAAGTGCCTTCTCGCCAGTACCTGCCACCTCTGCTTCTGTTATCCCCAGATTGATAAACAAACAGAACGAGTACTGGAAAATTGCTCTGAGATCCTGTATATGAGACATTGCATACCCCAGAGACAGAGCTGAGGGCAGAGAGGGACCTGGCTAGAATAATGGCCCAAAGCAATCTAGTGGCAGGACCAGTTTACCTAACTGGCACCTCTGTAGCACTGACCCCTCGGAGCCAGATACCATCCCTATCACTACCCATACCTGGGCATGGCACTGCCGGAATGGACTGTCCAGCAGTTGGTGGCACACGTCCTGGGCTTCCGCTCGCAGTCGGCCTGGTTCAACTCCTGCCCCTGTGTCCCCCAGGAGGCCCTCACAGCCCTGGGCCACCTCCACTGCATCCAGACACCCAGGCTGGTGACAAACAGAGGCAAGCCAGATGGCAGTGGTGAGGGACATTAACCAGGACACCCAGAAGGTGACCACTTTCCTTGTATCCAGTTCAAGGTCCTACTGCAGTGCCCATCCTGGGGCTATGGACAGCGGCAGGGTGGCAAGCCCCAGTGGGGAGAGGAAAGAGGTTCCATGAGCAGCTACTGGGCCAGGGGGGCAGATGCATGCCCCCACAGTCAGCTTACAGCAGGTAGCTGGGCTCCCTGTGGGACTCCAGGGCCCAGCTCTGGGAGACAGCCCATCCCATCCTGGGAACAGACCAGAGATGAAGACAGAACAAAGGCTGGGAGGAGTAGGAGCAGTGGCCGGGGCTGAGAAGCCAGGAGAGGGCAGGCAGGTGGGGACAGGGCCCCAGGAGGGCAGTCTCACCTCAGAGTCAGGGAGCCTCCAGGAATTCCCAAAGGTGGCAGCTAACATGGCCAGTTCCCCGCCCGGTTCCACAAAGTCGTCTGAGGACAGGTGAGGTAGGGGTGTGGGACCTGAGGTCTCCTGTGTCTCCCTCCCTCCTGTACCCACTACCCAGCTGCATCTCCACTTACCCTCAGGCCGGCCATTATAGAGACCACAGAGGCCCTGTGTCAGTCCCCAGAGCTCATGGTCCACCGAGATGGGAGACTGCACTGGACCTGTCCAGCCGCACAACGACTCCCAGGCCCCCTGACAGCACCAGCCAGTCCCCCTGCCACTGCAGGCTCAACCCTGGGCAGGGGGAGGGGGTCACTTGGTTTCCTGTGGCCACTCTCCTCACCCCTCCCACCTCTACAGCAGGGCTGGAGCAGCTCAGAGGACAGGAGCAGGGAAGAAATCTCACAACTCCAGAGAGCTCTGCACTTTATCTCCCATACACCCACACACATACATGCGTGTGCACATACACACAGGCACACGGAAGCCCACCCCCACCTCGCCCCTGGGATCCCAGCCAGGACAAAGCTTCCAGCAGGAGAGCCTCCCCTCGATTAGCCCCAGAGTGCTTCCTCATCATACACTTCCAAGGCCCATGGGGAAACTGAGGCTTGATGCTCCCCTGATGTTGGGGCAGTTAAGCTGAGGGACTTGCCCAAGGCTGCACTCTGAGGGAGTTAATGGGGCAGGGAAGGCGGTTTCTCATTTCCAGACCCCTTCCACCAGCAGTGTTGGGGGAGAGGAGGCAGAGGCTGGGTTGTAAGCTGACCTCAGCTGCTCTTCTGAACCTGCCCAGAAGGTGGGCAGCCTGACGAAGAGGGGCCAGTAAGACCCTGGGCAGTCAGTCTCTTGCCCCACCATGCCCTCACCGTGGAGCAGCCGAGACTCCCCCTTGGGGACCAGCTGCCCATTCACAGAGACGTCGCCAGCCTGGACCAGCACCTCCTCAGGGCCCATTGCCACACGAACCTGGGAGGACGCAGAGTGCAAAGGGATCAGTGGCTCACCTCCCCTGTGCTGCCCTTCCCTGGGGCCATCCCCGGCTCCTGCACCTCACCGACTGACAGTTCCTAGGCTGGGGACAGTGGCCCCCAGGCCGCAGGTGGACAGCCCAGGTGGAATCAGCCACGCCTGCCAGCAGGTAGGTGCAGCGGCCCAGGAAGTGGTAGTGGCGCCCATCAAAGGTACGGTAGTGGAAGCCAGACCAGGTGGCACAGGTGGCTGAGGGACGCTGGCGCTGGCTCCAGAGCTGGCCCACGGCCCCTGCCAGGGGCTGCAGGAGGGCCGGGGAAGAGGTGTTGCCTGGCAAGACACACCACTAGTAAGCCTCTGCTCAGGCACAGGACACAGGGCTCCCAGCAGAGCAGGAGGCAGGAGGGCAGGGCACAGTCACTGTGGCGGGAAGAGGAGCAGCCAGGGCCCTGAACAAGACCCAGAGCTCAACACCTCCATGGGGGTGGTGAATGCCAGGGTCTGTGGACCCACCTGGGAGGCGCTGGCTGGAACAGCTGAGGCAGGCCTGGGAGCTGCCGTTCCACCAGCTGTGTCCCCAGGGCTGGGAGCAGCACTCCTCCAGGCTGCCTGCTGAAGCATTAACTGAGCCTGCCAGCAGCTGGCAATGCCAGGTGGCAAAGCAGTGGCTGGCAGGGCCGGCTTTGGCGAGAGCTGTGGTGGGCAGAAGAGAGAATGGAGAGGAATCAGACAGTACGTATGGGGGCAGCTGGGACTTTCAGCCTGGCCTGCTCCCTTCCTCAGGCAGCCTGCACCGCTCCTAAACTATAGATGTGGGTTTCCCTCTCCTGCCCAGGAGCCCCCAGAAGGTACCGCTCACCCCAACCTGCTCAGGCACTTACCCTCAGTGCAGTGGGTGCCGCCCCAGCCTGGGCAGCATGCCCTCACTGTCCGGTTCCACGTGGCAGGCCGGGTTTCCGGGGGCCTGCACCCACGGAGAAGGAGGACACGGGGAGAAGTGTTAGTGCCCAGTCCAGCCTCACCACAGGAAAGGGCCTGGGACATTTAGTCTGGCCATCTATTCTGTGAGGAGCCTTGTCTCGCAATTTTCCCCTCTTGGCCTTAATGTTCTCACATGCAAATTGAGAAGGACATTGGGAAGATGTCTAGGGGGCTGGCAGAGGGAGCAGACCCGGTGCCACTTGTGGCTTAGCCTGCTGTTGGTGCTCACTCATCCACCCACTCCAAGCTTGCACTCTCCACCCTTCTCTGGGCCCACCCACGACCTGCTTCCCAAATGCCTGCTTCTGCCAGGGCCTCCCCAGCCCTCCCCGTCTCAGGATGTCCGGCTGTCATCCCTTCCTTCCTGGTAGACAGTGCAGGCTCTGACCCTCACTCACTTGTAGATGGGACAGAGTCCAGGCACTGGTGGCCCCGTGAGCCCTGCACGGCCACTCCAGGGCAGGGCCGGCCGCCAGCCCAGGCGATTGTAATGGTAGAGACTGGTGCAGGGCACCAGGTCCTCCTGGCGAGGGGCTACTTCCTCTTCCACATGGATTGTCTCTGTCCACTCACACCACCGCCTGGCCAAGAAGGGGGAACCACAGCTGTCCCTTGGCCTCCCAGAAGCCCTGTCACTTGGGACCCCACTCCCATCCATAAGAATGAACTTCCAGGAGTTACTGAAACCACAAGGTGGAGAGAGCAGCCCAGGGCGGGGGGTGGGGGTGGGGTGGGGAGGGGGCTGGTGCCCTGAGGGTCTCCGGGCAGAGGGCAGCAGCAGGAAGATCTTAATGGGAGGGATACAGGGTGGGCTGCTTACCCATAAGCCAGTGCCCACAACACCCCATAGAGGAGGGCACGCAGCAGCATGGTGTCCCTGCCTGGCCTCCTCTGGGGGGAGTGAGGCCTGGCTTGAGGGATGTGATGCTGCGGAAGGGTTGCAGGGGAGCAGTGCTGGTCTCTGCGCCACACTGCTAACTCTTGCAGCCAGGTGGGCAGCCTGTTCAAGGCAGCCAGGAGAGCCAGGCTCTTGGGGCTGGGGAGGCTTTATCCCAGCCTCATCCCCCCAACCCCCACCCTGGGGCACCAGCTGACAAGAACCGGATTGGACTTGCCCACACCACCCCCTCAAGGCCAACTCTCCCAGGAAACAATCCCCCAGCTGTGTGTGTAAAGGGGGGGGGGGTGCCACCAGACTCTGAGCCTCTGACATGTCCATACCCTCAAGCACTGTTGCAGATTAACCCAGGGGACTCAGGACAAGTGCCACACTCCCTCCCTGGGCTTCAGTGTCCCTCCTAGCAAAAACTTAGGGACTTCCCACCTGTGCATGGTGGGACCTAGGGACTCTGTGACTTTGAAATTGCACATGTGCGTGTTTTTCTGAGGACAGTTCCATCCATACCTTTTAGTAGATTCTCAGGGCAGGCTTCAACACCACAAAAAAAGGTTATGAGGCTCAATGACCCCTATGATCTTCCATTACTAAAATCCTGGCTGTGTGGTTCTCTCCCTGTTGTTTTCTTACCCCCTCTCCCACCAGGCACACAGGAGGTGAGAGCTATTGAGCAGGAGTTTCCAGGGTAGCTGGAGCTCCCCTGGAGACACTGTAGCCTTTCCTTTGTGTGGCATGACTTCTTACAGGAGGTGATTATATGTGGCTGGTTGGACCCATTCTGTCTTCTTCTGTGAGTCTCTGTGGGTCCCTGGGGTGGAGAACCATGGAGCCTGGCCTGAGGACTGAGAGGAGCTTCAGGAAGGATGCCTGGGTGGGAAGTGGCAGGGAGGCTGAGCCGGATGGACTAATTCCAGTGTCCTGTTGGGAGGGGACAGCCACAGAGCGATCCTGGTTACATCCTGGTTACCAGCACAGCTCCTAGGCTGGTATATGGTCTGAACCTCAAATTCCTACCTCTCCATCTCCTCAACCCCACATCCCACTGAGCCTCCTGCTTAGGAGTCCCAGCTGGAGTGAGGGAGGAGCCTGCTGGGCACCACAGCCAGGCTAGGCATGTTTTTCTGGGCCCACCATTGGTCCCAGGGCCATAACAGCATGAGCCAAAACAGGTCACTAGGATTGGCTCCCCACCCTAGGGTCTGGCCCTGGCCACACTTGTTCTCAGCCTCCCTCTCTCTCACTCACTAGCACCTGCACACTCCCCAGGTGACCCAAACTCAGGCCCATGTGCCCACAGCCCTCCCCACCACACCAGTGACACATTCTGCTCCCAGAGCCTCCTGTGTTCTGCTGAGCTATGGCCCAGCTCCTGCAGGTTCTCACTGCAACTGTCAACACCTGCTGAGGCTGGCCCTGGGATCTTGACTCCACATGTATCTGCATCCCTGCGATGGGACCCAGAGCCAGGGGCACTTGATCTTTTTCCTGCCCTTCTCAGACTCCCAGCTCTGCATCCCCACCGTCCTCTTTTCTCCCTAAAGGAACAGGAGGGAGGCAGCCCCAGTTCAGGACCCAGGAGAGTTTGGAGAAAGTTCTCAGAAAGGAGGCCTGGGATGATGACCCCTGGTTTCAGCTGGAGACACTTCTAAAATGGACAGGGTGAGCAGGTCTGGTTCCCCAGAAGCCCATTCCGAGGGCCCAGGGAAGCCCTCCATACCTAACTCAAAGTGATTTCCAGGCCGGGGTGCGTGGTGGGGTGGGAGGTGGCAGGGAGAACCCTCCCCTCCCCGCAGCCCCCTCTCTGCCCCTCCCACGGCCCCGCCCTAAGTCTCCGCCCAGCCCTGGGCCAGCCTCACCCCCTGGTGTCTCTTCTCCAGCCTCACCCCCTGGTGTCTCTTCTCCAGCCTTCTCTCTAGGGACCTAGCTCCAACCCCCCCCCCCCCCCCCCCCCCCGCTGTCTGCTTCGAAGGCCCATTCTCCGCAGGCCCCGGGGCACAGCCCTCTCCCTCACTGGCTTCCTCGAAGGGCTGTCGAGTCGAATCCTCGGGGCTGGAGGGTGTGGGGTTGGGTGGATCCGAGTGTTACCCGGGTGGGAGCCGGGATCGGCTGAGCTGGGACGTGGTCTGGGACTGCTCCCGCGGGCCCTGGGGACACTCACAGGACCCCTTCCTGAACACGCCCCCTCCTCTGCCCCCCCAACTCCTCGCCGCCCCCAGCCCGCGCTCCACCTATCCCCGGCTCCTCCCTCGGAGGCGCCGAGCACCCTCCCTCACAGCCTCAGCGCCCTTCCTCCCGAGCCTCCTCTCCCTCCCCCTCCCCACCCTGCTGTCTCTCCCCCTCCTCCAGGCCCCGGTCTTAAGCTCCCACTTTCCGTCACCTACTCTGGGCATCATGCCTCCAAACCGTCACCTGCACACCTAGCCCCGCGGTGCACCCTCCCGCGACCCCGCTCCTAAGGACTCCCACCTCTACCGCCCCCAGCCTGCTGCCTCGGGGCTCCCCTCCCGCTTCCTCCCCGCTCCCTCTCCCTCCGGTCTTTTCCTCTCCCCTCCCCGCGAAGTTTCGGGGCTGTCAGTCTGTCCGTCTTTCGGGCAGTAGGCACCCGAGCTGCAGGCAGCGGGCGCCATTGTGAGCTGAACCAGCCAGGGCAGGAGGCCCGGGCGCCTGGGTCCCCGCCGCAAGCGGGTGAAGCAGCCGGCCGCCAGGTAAGGGCCGGGGAGGCTCCCGGCTGCAGGCGGCTCCGCCCGCTTCCCCTTCTTCGGGAACACTCACAGGCACTGCCTGCTCCGCGCAGGTGACAGCCCGGGGGCAGGGGCTCAGGGAGCGCGGGGGGCGGAGGAGGGGAGGGGGTCGGAGACCAGACTGGCCGGGAGGACGGGGAGGGGCGTATGGGGAAGGGAGAGGGGACCAGGAGCTGGAGGGCAGGGCGGGGGGGGGGGGGGATCGGGTGGGAGAGGGTTGGGAGGGTCCCGGGGGGAGGGAGTCGGAGTCTCGGCAAAGGGGAGAGGGAGTGTGGGAGGGGGTCGCCGGAGAGGGGAAGGAAAAGCGGGGCGCGGAGCTCCGGGCCGCTTGGGAGGGGCTGGAAAAGAGGGCGCTTGACAGGTGAGCCCGCCGCGGGGGAAGGCGCCGGGACCCGGAGTGACTGGAGAGGAGGAACAGAGGCCGCCGGCCAACGGGAGGGTCTGGTCGCGAGGGAAACTTGGGAGGGGGATGAGAAGTCGGGGGGGGGGGGGGGCAGAAATGGGGACGAGGGCCACTGAGAGGGAGGGAAGGTCTTGGGGAGAAAAGGGGTCCAGAAGAGGCGGGCTGGGGAAGAGCAGGGCTGGGGTCGGTGTGACCGGTGCCAATCCTAGACCCCCCCCCTTGGCGTGGGGGGCCAGAGGAGAGAGCCCGGGAGCGGACTGGAAGGGGGAGGGGAAGAGCGGCACTGAGGCCCGGGAGTGGAGGGGAGGGGAGGGAAGCGAGGCGAGAGCCTGCTGGGGAGGCAGGGGGAAGGGAGGCGGGGGCCGCGGAGGGGAAGGAGAGCTGCGGGAGGGAGGGAGGAGACGGGGAGTAGGGCTGGGGAGGGGGAGGAGAGGAGAAGGAAGAGAAACCCGAGTGGGGGAGGAGAGGGGAAGGGGAGGGGACAGCGAGGTGGGGGAGAGGAGCCGAGAGGGGGAGGGCGGGTGTTGGGGAGGAAGGAAAAGAGGAGGGGGGAAGGAAGGGAGAGGGTGCGCAGCCGGGAGGGGGGATGGAGCAAGGAGAGGCAGGAGGGCAAGAGAGGCGGCCCTGAGCCTGGGCAGGGGGAGGGGAGCGCTGCTTCGGAGACTGCCCGGAGTGGAGGGTCAGGGGAGGCAGCGGCTGGAGAGGGCCAACCGGAGGGGGCCGGAGGGGCTGGTCCGGTGTGGGCAAGCGGGAGGGCGGGGCGGGGGCGGGGCAGGGGCGGAGCTCCAGAAGCCAGCCCCATTCGGTGGGGAGAAAGGGCGGAAGGCAGAGGGAGAGGGAAGGGGGCAGGGAAGGCTGCCTGGGAGAGGGGGACGGGGAGTCTGCTGGGGGAGGGGAAGCAGGGAAGGGGGCCCAGGAATAAGTGTCCTGATGTGGGGAGTCCCAGAGGGGGTGGGGGATGGTTTTGAAGTAGGAGCTTAGGGGGAAGCAAGAGTCCTTTCCTAGCTTTAACAAGGACCCTTCTCTGAGGGGCTCCCCCAGCGGTGGCCCTAAAGTGACACTCATCTCCGCCCAGGGCTGGCTTCTATTTCACCTGCTCAGGCAGTGACAGCTGGAGGGCCTAGGAGATGAAGTTTCCCACTACCCACCCTGTCCTCCCACCTTCCACTTCCTCCCCAGAGAATCCAGTGGTTCCTGCACTTCCCCAGGCAAGGACCTTGAGGTGCAGGGTGGAGGTGCAGATGGGCTGGGACTGGCTCTGAGACCTGCCTGGCGAGGGTGGCTGGGGGCAGCTGATTGCTGGAGCTGAACAGAGCTTGCAGAGGTGGCTCCTAGGCCTTCTTCTGGGGGTGCCCCTTCCCCCCTTCTTTCTGAAATCCTTTCCCTCAGTTATACTTGGGGACATCACCTTTAGAGCTCCTGGGAGAGCTCCTAGGGAGGGGTGGGGCAGAGCCAGGGACCAGGTGGAAGCTGTCTGAAGACTCTAAAGATGCCTGTCTTTTTTCCTTAGGGTCTGTGGCCTGATTCCCAAGAGGAGCTACTCCAGGTTGCCATGAGGGAGACCTTGGAGGCCCTCAGCTCCCTGGGTGAGCAGGCAGAACTGAAGGAGCTTGGAGGGGAGAAGTGGGAAGCAGGGCTCAGGGGCATCTACAACTCAGGGAGTGGAGCCACCCTCAGGGGCTTGAAACCCTGAGACCCCCCACAGAGGTCTGGGGGGGCATGTGGGACAGCAAGCACCCTTCCCCACTCCATCAGGGCACTTGAAAGCCTTGTGCGTGGTGGAGGCTGTGCCAGACTGTATGTGCACCCAGTGGCCACGGTGGCATTTACATCGGTTCCACCTCTTGCTTCTGCCCTGCTCCAAGGAGTTGAGGGTGATGCCTGGCCAGCCTGCTAGGGATCCTGGGCTGACTTTGTCCATGGTAGCCAGAGACCGTGTCCTTCCTGAGCAGGTTGGGAAAAGCCCCTCAGACTGGCTGGGAAGGCAGGGTCCCCACCTCTGATTTCATGCCAACTTCTTTATGTGGCTCCATCCTTCTGTCTGCTACAGGATTCTCTGTGGGACAGCCAGAGATGGCCCCCCAAAATGAGCCCAGGGAGGGTTCCCATAATGCCCAGGAGCAGACGTCCTCTTCTAGGGAAGAGCGAGCACTGGGCTTGTGCTCAGGTGAGTAAGTGGGAACCAGCGAGGGTGGCTCAGGGAGGAGCCTGCCTGCCTCCCTGCCTTTCCACATTCACTAAACACAACAGAGGAAAAATCCCTACCATCAGGGAGCTGAATTCTAGTGACTATAGAGAGTCACTAAACAATAAAAATAAGTACATTTGTAAACTATGTGAGAACCTGGCGTGTCCTGTGAGGGGAGCAGATGAAGCAAGGTGAACATGGACCATGTTGCAGGAGTAAATAAACCTCAATGAGAAGGGAAGCTTTGAGCAAGAGTTAAGAGGGCTCAGGGAGGCAGCGAAGGGGAGGATCTCCTGGCTGGAGAGCTTTCAGGCAGGGGGGAGCAGCCAGAACAGAGTGCCTAAGGCAGAAGTTTGCCTGGCCTTTTGACCCTCAGATCCCCATAGTAGTATGCCCTGGAACTAACTGGGGACCCTCTGAAGAGGAAGCCCCCAGCCCTGTTCCTTGGGGCCTCAAGCAAGGCTCAGGGCAGGGGCCTTTGCTGGCTCCCACTACATGACATCCACATATTCCAGAAACTCCTCCAAGTGGCTCCTGCACCTGTACACCCATAGCAGCTACCCTGCTTGAAGGAGCCTGAGGCTTCCCTGGGGCAGTTGGGAATTCAGCCTCTGCAGGTATGCCTGCAGTGTAACCCTATGGGCTGGGGCAGGGACTGGGGTTGTCATGTCCCAGCACCAGTAGGGCCCTTCACCCATCTGTGATGCTTCTAGAGTCCTTGAGGTACCCTATTCTCTGCCAGGGCCCGAAGTTCCCAGGCGCCAGGAAGGTGCCCACCCTGAACAAGCTGAGACTCCCTGCAGAGGAGGCCAGGTGTGTACACCACAGAAGGCTGAGCCCATGGGCTCCTGCCCAGGTGAGTCATCCCATTGATCTATTCCACCTTAGGGTCCTGGCATCCTTCTGCTGGACCCAAATGGGATTTCCTGTTCGTGGATGGTGGGAATCAGAGAGGCAGGCCACCAAAAGAAACACACTTTCACTTCAGACCCACTCTGAGTCCTGGCCTCCTGGCCTCATCTCTTTCCATCTAAATTCATGCTTGTTCATCACCTGGATGACAGTCCTCATAAAGATGTACGGTATTGATAGCCTTCCCCCATCTGTCCCCTCCCACCAGCATCCACTGATCTCAGATGTTCCAAATCTGTTGTCTCTAACTCATCTCTCCATGTCCAGGGTGGGGCTTCCCAGTCATTGTTTCTCACTCCACAACCCCACGCATCACTTCCTTCCACCACCACACTCCACAGTTCTTGTCCTCTCACCTGCGTGACATCACATATTCAACAAGGGTTTGGTTTGATGCCTGCCGTGCACAGGTGGCTGGGAAGTGTGGAAAGAGGTGTGCTATAGTTGCACAGACCCAGTTTGAGTTCTTATTCCACATTTCCTATCAGAGTGCTCTCTGGCAGGCTGTCTCACCTCCAGGTGGTTGTAAATGTTTGCAGCAGAGTGTATCCAGGGTGTATCAATAAATGGTGGTAATTATCATTCTGATGAGCTACATAAAGACAGGTGTTAATAGAATACAGGAAGCTAAGGTTTAGTTGAGCTAACATTAGTAGGAATTAGTACAAGGAAAGGAGCAATGCAAAGGCAAGTGACAGTAAGTATAAAAGTGTTACCAGTAAATGCTACAAGTTTACAGTAAGAGATCCTTACGCACTGGGCTTGTCAAAAATGTTGATTTTGTATAGCATTTTGAAAAAGGCATGAACTTCAGCTCTGAGGAGGGATGGGTGGGAGCTGGGATGATAATCTAGGCTGAGAAAGACTTTTAAGCAGGAAAGTTGACATGTGACAGGATTGGAAGAGAGGAGCTTGGTTACAGTGAAGGGTTCCTGCCTGGGGCAAGTAAGAAAGTTGGACTAGGTTGAGGGTGAGCCTTGGGTGCAGCAACAATCCACTTTATTATGTAGGTACTAGGGATCTATGGATGGTTCCAGTGTAGGAGAGTAGCACAAAGGAACTGCAAATAATATTATGGTTCAGTAAGTAGACAGTTGTTGGGAACCAGTGGATTGGCAGAAGCAAGGTGGGTGTAGATATAATTGTGGCTGTCCGTGTGTGATGAAATCAAGGCTGAAGCTATGGTGGACGTCAGGGCCAGACAGGAACTTGGATCATTACATTGGGAGCTTTAAAGAAAGGGAGCAGATTCTTGGGTCCTGCCCCTGCGTGTGTTCGAGTTACCCAGGAATTCAAACCTGCCTTTGGGCCAGGACTCCTCTAGAGGGCTGGCTGCGATCTTCCAGGGGCTGGCAACAGTGACTAATTCCCCAAGTCCTGTGAAATGCAGCCTTGCTAGTTCCCAAAGTCCTGTCTTCCCTAACTGGGATTTCCCATTGGACTGCACCAGCAGGAAGGAAGGGAGCAGCAGCAGGGGCAGCTTTGGAGAGACAACGGCAAGGAATACAAGGGTGCCCTGGGACTCTGTGGCGGCTGGAGGGGAGGTGGAGGTGAGAGGTCACGGTTCCGGGGACATCCCACTGGGAGAAGGTCATAGGTCTCCTGTTCACAGCAGCCAGAGGTAGGCTTGGGAAGGTTACGATTTTAGCAGCTTAAGCACAGGACATCCCCAGGGAGCTGCTCAACTAGAGATGGGAGACTCTGGTTTCAGAAAGGAGCCTCTGGACAGGAAGATTTGGGGTGGCCTCTCATAGTGATATGAACCAGAGTGCAGCATGAGGAGCAGGGTGGGCAGCATTCCTGTTCAAGGGGTGCAGGAGGAAGCAGTGGCTGCCAAGGAGGCTGGGGAAGGCCTTTGGTGACAGTGCAAGCCTGGGAGTAAAGCAGGTGTGTGTGTGTGTGTGTGTGTGTGTGTGCATGGGAAGTGGCTTCAGCAATTCTGGCTGCAGAGACAGTGGGAGGGGCACTAAGAGAAGAGCTTGGAATCCTGCTCGTTCCCAGGAGTCTCTGGGTAAAGGGGAGAGAGCAGGAGGCAGACTGCTGGGCTCCAGGAAGTGGCTGTCTGTTGGCAAATCCAAGTTGCGGTGCATGGGGCTCACTAGACAATTCCGGTTTTGGCTTTTCAGGGGATGAGTGGATGATTCGAAAGGTCAAAGTGGAGGATGAGGATCAGGAGGCCGAAGAGGAAGTGGAATGGCCCCAACATCTAGCGTTACTGCCCAGCCCTTTTCCTACGCCTGAACTGGGTCACTTGGCTGCTGCCTACAAACTGGAGCCAGGCACGCCAGGGACGTTGGGTGGGCTCGCGCTGTCCGGGTGGGCTCCGGTCCCGGAGAAGCCCTATGGCTGTGGAGAGTGCGAACGGCGCTTCCGGGACCAGCTGACCTTGCGGCTGCACCAGAGGCTGCATCGTGGCGAGGGCCCCTGCGCCTGCCCGGACTGCGGCCGCAGCTTCACGCAGCGCACGCACATGCTGCTGCACCAGCGCAGCCACCGCGGAGAGCGGCCCTTCCCGTGTTCTGAGTGCGACAAGCGCTTCAGCAAGAAGGCGCATCTGACCCGCCACCTGCGCACGCACACGGGCGAGCGGCCCTACCCGTGCGCAGAGTGCGGCAAGCGCTTCAGCCAGAAGATACACCTGGGCTCGCACCAGAAGACCCACACTGGCGAGCGGCCCTTCCCTTGTACCGAGTGCGAGAAGCGCTTTCGAAAGAAGACCCATTTGATTCGGCATCAGCGCATCCACACCGGCGAGAGACCCTACCAGTGCGCACAGTGCTCACGCAGCTTCACCCACAAGCAGCACTTGGTGCGGCACCAGAGGGTGCATGAGGCGGCCAGCAGGGCCCAGCCTTCTCCCGAGGCGTCGGCCTCACCTGGTTCTCCCGCCGCGTTCCCCGCTCCCTCCCCTCAAGGGCCGAAGCCTTTCGCCTGCTCTGACTGCGGCCTGAGCTTCGGCTGGAAGAAGAATCTCGCCACGCATCAGTGTCTGCAGCGCAGCGAGGGGCGTCCTTTTGGGTGTGACGAGTGCGCACTGGGCACCACCGTGGACCCCACTGAGGCCGAGCCCCTGGCCTGTGCTACCCGTGGGCCAGACTGCGGTCCAGGGTCGGGCCCCATAGCTCCCCAGAGCGCCCCAGCAGGTGATCGGTCCTTCTTCTGCCCAGACTGTGGGCGCGGCTTTGCCCACGGGCAGCACCTGGCGCGGCACCGGCGCGTGCACACTGGAGAACGGCCCTTTGCTTGCGCTCAGTGTGGCCGTCGCTTCGGCTCGCGGCCCAACCTGGTTGCCCATTCCAGGGCCCACAGTGGAGCCAGGCCCTTCGCCTGCGCTCAGTGCGGCCGCCGCTTCAGCCGCAAGTCACACCTGGGCCGCCACCAGGCGGTGCACACGGGCAGTCGCCCCCACGCCTGCGCTGTCTGTGCCCGCAGCTTCAGCTCCAAAACCAACCTGGTCCGCCACCAGGCGATCCATACGGGCTCCCGCCCCTTCTCCTGCCCGCAGTGCGGCAAGAGCTTCAGCCGCAAGACCCACCTGGTGCGGCACCAGCGCATCCACGGCGAAGCCGCTCACTCGGCCTCAGACACAGACCTCTCGGCGCCGGCCTGGCCCACTGCTGCCCAGGTGGCGCCACCCCCAATCTTCTTCTGAGCCCCTGCCCTGGTGGGGAGCCTGGGCTGCTGCCAGGCGGCTTAGAGCCCTGTGGGCCGGTTCCTTTCCCCGCGTGTCAAGGGGAGCAGTCCTCGAAGACTGGTGCGCAGCGAGCCCCTGCGTGAAGCTGTTGAGGCCTTAGTCCTTGGGAGACTACCACCCCGACGGCTTGCTCAGAAAAGCCTGGGCTGTGTACTGGGGAGGGAGAGAATAGTTATCTATAAGCAGAAAGTGTGTGAGAGTTCAAAACCGCAAGTTCTGGGCAGTTAGTGGTTAGGGGAGGAGACCCCTGACTCCTTCCCCTGCCCCCGCTCTGCCTGCCCATCAACAAACCCCGATGACCTTTCTGTTCTGGAGAAGTTCAATGTGGCCAGCTGCTGTTCCCTCGCTCTTGCAAATCAAAACGTGAAACACCCCATGGCCCAACCTCTCCCCTGCCCCCTGCTTCTGAGGCGTTGTACGAGGAAGAAGCACTGGTGTGCTCTCCCTGCAGACCGGAACTGAAGCGAATGCCGGCAGGCAGGCCGCCCTTTGGCCATTCCCATGGAGACCGCGGCCAGCCTGGGCCCTGAGCCCTGGGAGCAGCTCTGCGAAGGGCTCTGGAGCAGCCGGCCTCACCTGCCGCCAGCCTGGCTGGTCGCAGCCAAGAGCAGATGGAGGTCGCTTTCCCAGCACACTTTGGAGTGCACTCTCTCTTGGTGAGAGTTGCTGTGACTGCACTCTCCCAACCAGGGGAAGGCCTGAGGACATCAGGAGAGCTCGCAGAGGTCAAGGGAGGTTGCCAAGGTTGCAGACTACAGTGAGGCCTGAAAAAGGTGTGAAGGGGCAGAAGGAGGAGGAGCACTGGGGATGGCAGTAAAGGGCAGAAGGGTGGTGGGGAGAATGCCGGCCTTGGAGTTCCTGTGGAGCACAGCATTCATTTTCCCTGGGCCTCCACTTTCTCATTAAAACACAGAGTTGATGTGGACGAGGGCTGAGGCTTTTTCCTTGTTAATGCTGCTAGCACCAAAGATAATCCTAGGAAGTATTTGTTGGTGGCCTGCTCTGTGCTGGCACAGTGCTAGTGAGCATGAGTGAGGGAAGAGCCCTCACTGCGCTCCCAGTTGATGTGAGAAGTGCTGTTGTGGGGGGAGTCCCAAGGGTCCCTGGGCTGTGTGGGAAGAACATCCCCAGACCTGTACCAGGTTGAGCGAGGTTCGCAGGATGTAGCTACGTCTCAGGTGAGTGGAGAAAGGTCATGATTGGAGAGGGTGGTGTGGATGAAGGCCCAAAGGGCAGTGAGGCTGAAGCGGCCACCAAGCGGGCTGAGAAGCCTGGGAAGTAGCCTGAGGGCCAGTGAGGCCTCTCCCATGTTCAGGAGCTTGGACTGTACCCAAGGGAGTGAGGGACCACAGCAGGGTTTAGGAGCAGAAGGAACTTGGCACATTCACGTTTGTGCACATTACAAAGATGTCAGACTTGAGGGAGGGAGACTGGACACAGTGACCTGGGGCCATGGTCGTGCAGAGGAGAGGGGGAAGTGATACACTCAAGAGACCCTTGAGGCAGATGGGGCAGGACTTACTGATGAATGAGGGATGGAGAGGGAGTGGGGGGCTTAGGCAGGGTTAGTCTGGTTTCTGCTTGACTAACTGTGCAGGTGATCGTGGCATTCCATCAGCAGGTTACCCAGGAAGGAGAGTTTCATGCTAAGGGAGGACGCTTGGACCTGACAGGTTAGTGTGGCCTGCGTATGACCAGTGGGAAGTAGGGTGTACAGATGCAGAGCTAAGAGGGCTGGGCTGGAGACAAGTGGATTTGAGAACTACCCCTGTAATTGTCTGAAGCTATGGGGTAGTGGGTGAACTTCCCAAAGAAGTGCGTGTTGAGTGAGAAGAGAGGCAGCCTGGGTCAGGACCCTTTGGGCCAGCACCACTAGGGAATGGCCTCGAGAGAAGCCTGTAGACCAGGAAAGTAAGGGTGCCGGAGAATGGACAGGAAAACCTCTTGAGTGGTAATGAAAAAGGAGCTAGGCAAAGACACTGTACCTGGACAGAGGGAGCAATTGCAGGTTGTAGGGAGATCACATAAACTAAGGACCTCCATATGCGGCTGTATCTGCATTGGCAGTCCTGGAGAGAGCAGTGCTGATGGTTGCTGGGGTAGAATTTAGGTTGCAGAGGTGAATCACACAAGTGAGGTCCTAAAGCAGGTAGAAGACAGTGACACCTGGACACAGGTGAGGGGTAGCTGTTGGGTAGGAAGCCTCTTTCACTGTTGGGCCTGGGGAGGCATGAATGCAGGTAAGTTTTTAGGCTTCATGGCCGAGAATGAGTAGGTGACTCCAGGTTAAGGTAGTAGATGTGATCGGAAAACAGGAATGGACCCTTCTCCATGCCAGTATTTTAAATATCTGGAAATTTCACAGAAAAGTCAGCGCTTCTAGCTCCTCTTGTCAAAACTCAGAAGATTTGACAACCAATGGCTGGATGCGAGCAGAAGTTCACCTCTTTAGACTAAGGGACCAGGGTCCTCACTACTCCCCATTGTCCTAAACCCCTGCTCGGTGTCTCTCTCTGAAGTCACCTACCTGCCCTCTCAGGCACCGAGCTTGTAATTCTAGCTAGAAAAGTAAATCTCCTCAACTTCTACAATTAAACACATGAAAACGATGTTTGTGTTGGTTATACCAATGCTTTGCTTTCTGTAAACATTCTGGGATTCTTGTGTAGGAACAGCTTTTCGATCCTGCAACATATTTGCTGAACCCTGCTGTGTGCCAGACTCTGTTTTCTAAGAATTCACATTCTCTTGGAAGAGTCCCTACAAGGCATATCCTTGTCCTCTGAGCTTGTTTGCAAATAGTCTAAAGTCATTTAGTATCAAGCCCGGTGGTAATCAAAACAGAAAACATGGGCTCAAAAAATGCAGTCTCTCTGCCATGAAAGTGTGGAGCTTCCAAAGGCTGTCCCCAAGGAGGGGTTCTGGGCTCAGACAGCCGTGGTTTCACAGAGATCAACATGTAAGCCCCACGCGTTGCTCCTGGGGTAGGTGCCCAGGCACGACTCTTAGCAAAACATTAAACTTTTTAACATGCCTGTATATGAAAGTACTCCCAGAAGTTTCACACAAATTGGCTATTATATATAGAGAGAGGAAAGAAAGGTTTTAACAATTAGCTGACATGTACTTTTCACCAACCTTGTTTTGGCAAAAAGGCTTATTGTGGCTAATGGGTATGGAGTACCCAGTGTGGGTAACTTATGGTTCTGAAGGCTTGGGTGGCTCCATCTGGGGAGGGCTTCATGCTGCTTCATCACGTGGTGGAATCCAGAAGGGTAAGTAGACAACGTACAAAAATAGTCAGGCTTGAGGGGGACCTTGTCTGTGACAACTGCTCTTGGCATAACTAATCCAGACTCTGGAGAGTTTGGCAACTGACAGGTGAGAAAACTTCATTCCTTCCCACAAACTCCAGCTCTCACATGTGAGGGAGATGGGGGTCAGGTCCGTCCAACACCAGAATGATAGAATTGGACCCATTGCTCTGGACTGTGATAGTTTAATAGAGACAAGAGGGGCAGGCATTTGGCCTGGGGCTTAAGATGCTGGTTAAAGTGTCTGCATCCCACATCCCAGTGTCTGAGTTTGATACTCACCCCTGGCTCCAGCTTCTTGCACCATATTTCAAAAAAGGTGAGCTGCGGGACAGCTATCTCACTGCTATCATATCCCAGAATTTTCAAAGGTCATAGACTCGGGCGCTCTTTATGTGTGAAAGCAAAGGACTCACTCATGTCTGCCATGCACTACATCTTTCTGGTAGCCCTGGGTTTCCACCTCCTCCCTACACTGCTAACTCCCTACACTGCTAACCTCCTCTAAGCTCTAAGCTCTGATCTAGACACCTGATACCTGGGAAGTCTTCACTGGAACCCAGCTCACAGCCAGTGTGGTCATCCCCTCGCATTCAGAAGAGGATATCATCCCTGGGTGCATCCACCCCCACCTGCTGGCAGAGATGGAGAGAGACACAGACCAGTGCTGCCCTCCTGTGTGACAGGCTGGGAGCCCAAGTGTTGGAGCAAACCCCAGTAAGCAGAGAGGACAGTGGCTCTTGCTTCAGATTTGAAGCCCATCCCCAAGCTGGGCTGGCTCTTAGAAGTGTGAACAACTAATGGGCACCCCGTGAATCCAAGTACTCCCCTCCCAAGTTAATGTTGCTGCCTTTTCCCTTGGGGGAGGCAGGAAGATGGCCAGTGAACAAGCCAGTGTGGTGTGTGTGTGTGTGTGTTTTTATTAAGATTTATTTATTCATTTGAAAGTTGGAGTTACAGACAGAGAGAGGAGAGGCAGAGAGAGAGTGAGAGAGAGGTCTTCCATCCTCTGACTCACTCCCCAGTTGGCCTTGATGGCCAGAGCTGCGCTGATCCGAAGCCAGGAGCCAGGAGCTTCTTCCGGGTCTCCCACATGGGTGCAGGGGCCCAAGGATCTGGGCCATCTTCCACTGCTTTCCCAGGCCACAGCAGAGAGCTGGATTGGAAGTGGAGCAGCAGGGACTTGAACCGGTGTCCATATAGGATGAGGGCACTCTAGGCGGTGGCTTTACCTGCTATGCCACAGTGCCGGCCCCAAGTGTGGTGTGTTTTAAAGAAACCACATGGACGGCTGGTGCCGTGGCTCACTAGGCTAATCCTCTGCCTTGCGGCGCTGGCACACCGGGTTCTAGTCCCGGTCCAGGCGCCGGATTCTATCCCGATTGCCCCTCTTCCAGGCCAGCTCTCTGCTGTGGCCAGGGAGTGCAGTGGAGGATGGCCCAAGTGCTTGAGCCCTGCACCCCATGGGAGACCAGGATAAGTACCTGGCTCCTGCCATCGGATCAGCGTGGTACGCCGGCCGCGGCGGCCATTGTAGGGTGAACCAACGGCAAAAGGAAGACCTTTCTCTCCGTCTCTCTCTCTCTCTCACTGTCCACTCTGCCTGTCAAAAAATAAAAAAGAAAAAAAAAAAAAGAAAAAGAAACCACATGGCCAGTATCTTGCTTCCTACTGGAAGATGCCTGAAATGTTCCTCAGACCCATGCTTGGGGAACCAGATTCATAATCTAGAGGTTGTTTGGCAAGGGTAAGATTTGAGGGAAGTGAGGTAGTAAACTTTGGTGATGCTAAATCTAGGCTTTTGTGAAAATCTGCCCGTGTCATGATTAGGAACACACAAGAATCTCGGTGTGGCTCCACCCCCTGCACCTGCTCCCTCTCCATCTGCAGGGTTAGGACATTGCAGACTGCCAGAGTCTCAAGTTGGATTTGATCCACTGCCCACAGACACCGGCTGAGCTTTCAGCCTGTACCAACACTGTAGGGAACAGTGCAAAGCACTTGTCCCCCTGGAGTTGTCAGCTCAGACGTGAGATAAGCTGTGAGTCCCTCATGGAGCAGGATTGTTGGGTGCTTTGGCAGACTCCGGAGAAGTAACAAGGCCCCTGACTCACAGGAGTAGACCTCAACTGGGAGAGAAGTTACAGTTTTGTGCTATGCCTACACCATCAGGTGTGGGTGGATGCACTCAGGATGGTATCCCCTTCTGAGTGCTGGAGGAGGGTAGAGAAGGGGCAGGGCTTGGGCTGTGGCAGTCAGGGCTGGCCAAGAGTCCTGGGCGATTGTTTAAGGGCACCAGCACTGGAACTGACAGAGAGGGGGCAGAGAGACCAGGGTTCAGTGAAAGTCCTGTGCAATTCATGCTAAAGCAAGAATAAGTTAGGGAGGAGAGACTCCCCCTCTGCAGCGCCCCCTACCCCAGGGCCTCTGCCACTGCAGCAGGAAATAATGAGAGTTCTTCCCTCTTGGCCTCTTCGTAGAGCAGGTCCCCGTGCTACATCTCCCTCTGCCGGCTGCTCCCTGGAACTACCGAGGGGCAGGGCAAAGCTTTTGCCATTATACCCCGATAATAATGGTAGCTATTATTTATTTAACAATTGCTGTGCCAGAGGCTGATCTGAGGTCTTTACACACACATCCACACACATCCACATGAGCTTCACAATAACGACCATTATCACCCCCATTACATAGATGAAGAAGCTGAAGCACAGAGCAATTAAGTAACTGGAATAGTCATTCATTCATTCACTTATTCAACAAGTATGCCCTGAGTGACTGGGATTGTTAGATGCTGGGAGTAGTAATGGTAGCAATAGTAATAATCTAAAATAAATCCAATGCCTACTTTGGCGGTGGGCATCGTGGTCCTTGGTCCATTTTCTCTGATTGAGGTGAAGGGGGCTCAGCGGGTCTCAACAACACAGACACAGGCTGTGTGTGATGAAAGCTACACAGTCATCAGGTCACGGAGCCTGTGCTATTTAAAAGAATTGTTTTTAATTGTGGCAAAAATACACATCATGTCTCAACCATGCTGAAGTGTACAGTTCAGGGGTGTTAAGTACATTCACATTATGCAGCCATCACTACTAAACCTCCCCAGAACTGGCTGCGTCTGTGTAGTGGCCAGTGTCCGCATGTACGGTCACACATTATCCTGGAGGTTTGTGTGAGGGTAGTTGAGCCAGTGCACTTTGAGGAAAACAGATCGCCTTCCTAGGTGTTGGTGGGCCTCGCCCAATCAGGTGAAGACTTGAGCAGAACGAAGACTGCACCCAGCGCCACCACTGAGCAGGAAGGAGCTCAGCCAGCACTGGCTCTTCCCAGGCCTCTGCTTGACCTATGGATTTTGGACTTGTCCTCCTCTGTAGTGGAACAAGCCAATTCCTTACAACATCTCTATACCCATCCTATTGCTTCAGTTTCTCTGGAGAACCCCATGTAATGCATCTTACAATACTGCAACTGTAGGGGCCCAGCGCAGTGGTGCAGTGGGTTAATCCTCCGCCTGCGACGCAGGCACCACATATGGGTGCCAGTTCTAGTCCTGGCTGCTCCTCTTTCTACCCGGCTCTCTGTTGTGGCCTGGGAAAGCAGTAGAAGATGGCCCAAGTCCTTGGACCCCTGCATTCACGTGGGAGACACGGAAGAGGCTCCTGGCTTTGGATTGGCACAGCTCTGGACATTGCGGCCATTTAGGGAGTGAACCAATGGAAGGAAGACCCTTCTCTTTGTCTGTCTCTCTCACTGTCTAATTCTATCTGTCAAATAAATAAAAAAAAAAAAAGAAAAAATACTGCATCTGTCTCACCAAAAATAACTCCCATAACTCCCATGTCTTCCCCTCCCCCCGCCCTGGCCAATCCCATTTTGCTTTCTTTCTGTCTCTATGAATTTGACTAACATTCGTGTTATCTTTGTATCTGGCTTGTGTCATTTGGCAAAACGCCCTTGGTTTCATCCAAGTTGCAGCCGAGGCTATGTGTCTGTCCTCCATTCTGTTGCTCCATTAGTCTCCTGCCTGACACTCAGTAGCTTCCAGCTTATGGATGCTGTGGATCATGCTGCTGGGAACAGGGGTGGGCACGCCCCTGCAGAGTCCCTGCTGTCAGTTCTCTGGGGGACATATACAGAAGTGGAGTTGCTGGATCATATAGGAGCCCTGCCGTTACATTTCTGAGGACTGCTGCACTGTCTTCCACAGTGGGCGCATCATTGTGCACTCCCATCGACAGTGTGCAAGGGTTCCAATTACTCCACATCCTCATTGGCGTTTGCTATTTCCTGGTTTT